TGAAGACAAAATCTCAAAGAAAGAGTTGAAGAGAACTAATCTTCACTCTTCAGTATAGAATGAACCTAACTTAAAAGAAAGAAACGAAGAGAACTAATCTCCGCTCTTTTGTAAGAGTAAAGCTAAATTGAAGATGCGAAGAGAACTAATCTCCACTCTTCAGTAAAAGTTAATCAAATTTAAAGATGTGAAGAGAACTAATCTCCACTCTTTAATGAAAATAAAAACACTAAAACTGCGAAAAGAATCTCTTTACAAGACAAAGACCAACCCCACCGCTGCCACCAATGAAGCTTCGAGCTTTGTTGTTTAAATAGCTCTGTGGGTTCTTCATAAAATAATATGGATTGGTCTTGTAATGTAAAAAAGACAAGATTAACACAGAATTAATATACTCATAAAACTATACTTTATTCCAAGTAAAAGACTAAACATGTACAATTACACTCTTCAGTATAAAATAAAACTGTTCAAAGATAAAGAAAGAATGAAAATGAGATTAATAAGATGAAAAGAAATGATGTGTGATGTTCCCCCCCATCTAAGCCCAAAATTTCTCTTAAATACCCCCAAGTTATAGGAAATGAAAGGCAATCCCTTACCCTACAAAACCTATAAGAACCCCATTGAAAGATGGCAGCACAATACGGTAAATCAACATGAAAAATGCTATACTATGATTATCATAGTGAAACTAGGGATATGATCAGTCTCAAAGTCTGATACCCTCTCCGACTGATGACAGAACCAAAAGACATATCCGCAGCTGATGCCATCAACAAAACTATGATAAACTTTGTTCAATCAATATATTAAGTGGGATTTATACAGTTAAAGGTCCCAATAAAACTCTGCATACATATTTATGTTTTTTTGTAAATCGTTATCATGAAGGATACGTCAATACTTTTTTTTCGAAAAATCCAAAACATAAACTGTAAACCGTGGTTATAAATGTACGCACTGAAAGTATCAAACTATCTTTTAAAATATATATCTTACAATTATTTTACCCGTGGAAATTGAGAAAGTGTTCAAAAACATATAATAAGTTGTAAAAAATACGTCAGTTGCGAACTGTATTTTAGGCAAATCTCAAACTATCCCGATGTCAGGGTATTTTTGTCGACTATACAGAACAGAGAACACTGAACAAATATCGCCATCTTAATATTAAAATAATCACATAGGCGTAGTTTTATTTTGTTTGTCAACATATTTAGCACTTCCCCATCTGCAAATACTCTCATCGCGCTCCCGATACACTGGAGAAAGGTTACAATTTGATACCAAAAAGTTCTTCTACAAAGTTCTTGTTCAAAATCATCAAATTTTGGTTAACCCAAATTCTAAAAATGTGATGTAAGCATATTGCCAAGTAAGAAAACTACAAAATGTTCATACTACCAAATAAAACTACACCTACATGCTTTCAAAAAAATCTCGACGTGTTTCCATCTCAAAATAAAAGTAAAACGTTTGGGCAGATTTCTTTGAAATGAGATAACTACATTATATCAAAATAGATTATATAAGCGCAAATTCCAAAGGGAAGGGTGACTAAAAACTTTAAAGAAACCCAACAAGAAAAACAAACTGTAAGTGTAAATCTGTCATAGGAAAAGTAGACCCTATATATCCCAAAACCATGATCTAACGTGAAAGAAACAATGTCTAACATCCCCCTCCCCCCAATCGAGAACCAATATCACAATCCAGGACCAGAACACCAAGGGACATTTCATTCATACTGAAGTCATTACAATACATGTTGAAAAAAAATTGAAAAAATTGATAGCCAATACTCCTACCATCAAAAATAGTTGTAGATATTAGATATAGTACTCATAAAAGATAGAGTATTGTATTGTCTCAAATGATTTGGGATAGATAAAATCCAGTCTCGAAGTCCATAGGCAATTGCTATATATATATCGGGTGTTCCAAAAAATGAGACACTATTTACCAAGTATTTTCTTGTACAAATTCACTGAGAATTTGTACAAATTAGCCTGAGAGTATCATTAGCAAGTTGTACAAATATAAAATAGATCAAATAAATATTCTGCGAGTAATAAGAAATTCAAAATAGCATGTCAAACGTCCCCATACCGCAGCTCTGCGATGAGACCTCTATATATTTGTACCAGCTAACAGGTGATAACATTTGCAAATAAGTCACAATAGCTTGTCAGTGTGTCATGTCTGCTTAATTCATTTCATTCTTCCCAAATATCCCAAATCCATTCATTCTGAAAATTCATTGAAGGTGATATTTTTAGAACAAATACGGAAAGGTTTTTGGTTATTTTACACACTTTTTTAATTCAATAATACACACATAACATGGAGCCAATATCTTACATATTCATAGCACGAGCAGAAGATACCCTAAAGTGCCTCAAGTAAAGATTTTAAATAATTTGGCTCATCTATTGCTGAGAAATCACTTGTCAAATTCCTTCCCATTTTTTGGTACAAACGCGATGAAAATTCTCATTGTATTGCTCCGGTATGGGACATTTTGACATACAATCTTGAATTTCTAAGTACTCACATAACATTTACCTGATCTTTGTCATATTTCTGTACCTTGCTAACGATACTCCTGGGCTACTTTGTACAAATTTTCAAAGAATTTGATTCTTCAGTTGCCGAGAAAATACTTGGCAAAAACTGTCTCATTTTTTGGACACCCGATATATTCGTCAATAGAAAATAGACCCTTGCTTACAACATCAATAACTCTATATACTCAAATCGATTGACCTGATTATATTCAAATAAAGCAATATTTTCCCCTAGTGGTAAAATGCGTAGTTACTTAAACAGAGTGTATCTTAGTTCCCATATATTGTTTAAACCATTTTAGCTTTTATTGTAAAATGATATATGCGAAACAGATACAATTATACAGCTACACCGTACATAGCTAAGCATTCTTATTAATCTAGAAATTACCAAGAATGTACTCCAAGATTCGTATTCACGTGTTCTGATAAACTCAGTTTTAACAATGTAATATTCAGGGGTCAGCAGGTGGTAGTGAATCTCGGATCTCGTTGACATGTTCATAGCTTTAAAAGTATCAGTATGGTGTGATACCCTAGCCTGTCCATGGATTTAACCTATTTGTATGATATTGAATAGAATGGGTTTGGCTTGATCATTTTGCTTGCTTTCTGATTTCAACTGATCCATTGATCCATATTGATGCCAAATACATGCTCCTAACATTTGGGGTAATCTTCTGAACGAATCCCAGTGACAACACAATTGAGCTTCATTAAGCCAAACCCGCTTTTATATAGAGTACTAAAGTGTTCACCAAGTTCGATATTGATCTATGAGTATTTAAAAAACTAATCTATATTAATCTAACAAATTCAATTTAAAAATACTCAAAGGATTAAGTGCAAAGTGAATGTAAAACACACAAGACATATCATATTTAGAAAATTGTCGTGTTTGCTTGTCTTGACATTCAAATGTAAGTTTGCGTCATGTGGTAATTATAAGCTTAGTTGCAGAATCCTGTGTGTGGCTATAAGGATTATAAACGAGGCCCTCCATAGACGGCGCTCTTATCTTTACTTAGGGTTTTATAATTTTATGAAAAGTATGACAAACTGATTCGGTTTACAACAAATACTTGACGTTTTGTCAAGAGTTTGGAATCTGTTGACAATTCGAATAGATGGTGGATAAGGGGCCAAATCTTTTGATTTTAGTTTAGTTCAGTTTTTTTTCAAAGACATTGCTAGTTTAAAGACGTCTTGGTATAGTAGAATTTTCACTGTTCCCCAATTTAAATGAATTTCAGCATCTAATTCTCTAATTATTACCCCCCCCCCATTCCCGACGTTAACTCAAATGGTATTCGAAAAGCCTGGAGAAAAACAAATCACACTTATATTCCAAATTATGTTAACTAGATTTTATTTTGTTATCCAACGTTATTCTAACTAATATTCAATGTTAAAAAGCTTAGTGGTAACTACAACCAATCCAAGGTGAGAGATAACATTTTTGTGTATTTGTTTTATTTTCAACTAACGCTGTGATTGGTGATTTTAATCATATTGGATTGGTCAAGTATAAAACGAAGAAGATGTGAAAAATTTAATTAGTATCGCTTCGATAGTCGCAATTATATTGCGAAATGGTAAGTTATTTTAAGTCGTATAATTATTTTCAACTTCTCTAAGTACATGCCAGATAAAAAATTAAAGCGGGTCTTTAATTTTTGCTGTTGTCAGAAGTGATAAGTTTTTGATGCAAAATGGTAGAATTATCTGAAGTTGCGCAATTCCGGGACTTTGAACGAACAATGTTGTTGAATATGTGATAGCTACATATTAAGTGGACAAAATGATTAAGTACTTTGTGTTTATTTTGCGTGTTGTAGACGCAGTCCTCGTGGTCGAGAGATTCATGGTTAGCACCAATCATATTGCTACTCTCCTTCACTGCTGCAGGTATTCTATCTTTTATCGCAGAAATATGAAAGTTAGCAAAATAAGTCTACAAATGATAAGAAAGTTCGTGTACACGTCACTGGTCTGGTTCATTCGTTGCCTTTGTTATTTTTAAATGCCTATATTTTGTTACAACTGAGAGTTTCAGGTAATTTCAGGTACACGTTCAAACAATTAATTAAAAGTTTTTTAAGTTTTGTAGACCTATCCCAGATTGAAAAAATCACACTTTTCTCTTGAGTGCGACAAAAACCAAGCTAAAGTATAGCCCTGGTAATAACTTCCATTTCAACTAGAGAGCATATGGAACCAGAGATAAAGAACCACATGGTCTATTTGGGGATCCACTTCCAGCCACATACATACACGGAAAAACTTAAAGACGGACATTTTGAACAAACCTTTATATGCCATTTGAGTTTCAAAACAAGGCCACTATTGCAAATATGGTAAATTTTGGAATAAAAGAGAAGAGATGTAGACACTCGAGGTACTAAACTATTAAACATTTCTTTATTTTAGCTGCCGAAACGTACACTTGTAGCTTTGGACCTTACGGTTACTGCGACACTTATGGGGATGTAGTTGCCCAGCATCTCCCAGATGACGGAATATGGGTCAAAGCACCCAAAAATGGTGACAAATTGAACCATTGGAAGTACAGAAAGACCCGCCAAAGTACCCTATATGGCCCCCAAGAGTACGATTCGTGTAAGGATGTTTTTAATCTTCCCCTCATCAAAATTATTGCTCAATTTTTCTCAATTATTGTAATCCAAGTTTTGTTGATGTAAGAGAATGTGTACTTAACGTTCGTTTGCTTCCAGCTGGTGCCTACGTCTTTGATCAATCATGGAATCTTCCGTCAAATATAAATTCCAGCGTCTGTTGGGATGTCAGTGCTTACATAGACGATGTTAGGAGAAGTTCCGGCTATTTTACCTTTGACACCTACATGTTTGGTCCCTCTGTGACCAAGATCGATGCGGCCCTTCTTGATGACAACTACAGCGTCCTCAGTGTAGTGGAGTTCGCTAATAGTAAGACTTTACATTAATCGCCCTTTATTAAGGAATAGGCTAAAATTATATTCCTCATAATTGTGAACAGCGTATATGGTTGAAACATTGTTAATGAGAACGGAATATATAGGCTTCATAATGGATTTGATGTTTGTAAGTGTTTATTTCTGTTCCAGGCGCTGATGCTGAAAAGAAATGGCTAACTTCAGAGGAGACAGGAAAACGTCTTGACTTTACCACTTCAAATGGCATTCGGTATGTTTGCGCTGTTGGGTACACCATCACACAGGGTAGTACGATAAAGTGGGACGGAGATCTTGGTGTCGATAACTTCAAAATAGTTTTGGCTGAAAATAGCATGAAATGTGAGTCCCCATAATTCATTTCCATGGTCTTAAAAAAACAATTAAACCAAAATAACCGTTGTTTTATTTTGTACAAGAGAGTATCTGAGCCTATTGGTGCTTTCAGCTCTATTTGAATGCAGCTTTGCGAAGGACGACCCAAACATGTGCGGGATGACGCAACTACAGGCACCAGCCGATGACTTCGATTGGTCCCTTAATGGTCAAAGTAGTGTTCGAAACTACGGCCAGACTGGTGGCGCTTCTAACGAGAACTACATGTTCATTGAATCTAGCACCTCATTTGATCACATTAACTCAGGAGACATAGCATCGATCCAAACACCAAACATAGGAGCAACTTTAGGTATTTCATATAAACCTATACTATTTTATACCTATTTATAATTATAGCGAGATGCATATCAAATCATCGTATCAAATCAGAAGCATAACACTTTATAAAAGAAATAAATGAAAATATTTCTTTCTTTTAGGGAAAGATGTCGACCTCAATTTCAAGTACTTTATGTACGGTAGTCATACAGACACGCTTACAGTGCAAATACAAGATGTAGGGAAGCTGCAGGATCCAGAAACCGTCTTTGAAATATCAGGTGCGAATAAGAGGCTGGCTGGCTAGATGTTTTTATCGTAAATATATAGATAATATAAACGGGTCAATTACTTTCACATAACTTCAATTTCTCTTCACTTCATGATCATGTTCTGAAGATATGTTTTACCTTTTTTGCTCATGCTCCTGTCCTATTACAATATCTATTTGCCATGTTGGCCCTCGGAAGAGCAATATATAATGTCAACGTTAAAATGTTCTTTACACCTCAATTTCAGGAGAACAGCACAAACGGTACGACGAGTGGACACAGGTCAAGATAGGATTACCCAATCGCATAAATGGCAATGCCTACAACGTGATCTTCACTGGAAAGGTTCGAGGTGATATCGGCCAATATGTCTGGTTAGGCGACATTAGTGTTACGGACATCAAGATCTCAGAAGTAACTGGCGGGGCAGGTAAGAAACAGCTTAGACATGATAGTGGGCTGATCTTGGGCTGAATGTGTATGATTTAATTTACATGCAACCTGTTCATCTCACAACTATCATGTTGGGACAACATTGTTACATACAACTTTGATCACATTTTAACAGTTTTCCTTTCATAAGTATATTTTTCTAATTTTTAAGGTTACGCACTGCCATGTTTGACAACGAATTGGAGCGACTGGGTTTGCGAGGCCAGCTGTGGAGACGCTGTTAGGTGTACACGAACACGATCTCCAACCGACCCAGCCAGTACTTCATGTGATCAAGTGGCCATGTCTGAGGGAACTACAAAGAGCATAGATTGTGCTTTACCAATCGATACTTCAGTTGGTAAGTACATGTATGATGGTTATGCTTTGGTCACATATGCTCCGATCCATCTGCCGGCGTCCGGCCGATTGAGTGTTTTGTAATCAATTTTGAACAAAATACTCAATTGGCCGGGTGAAAATCGGAGCAAATGTGACCAAGGCATTACAGGTGTAAACGCGTAGTTTGCATTGAAATACCACCTGGTTCTTACTGTGTCCGGCTAGAGACGAATCGGGTCACTGTCGCAAGGCAATCTTCATATACATCAATCAATTCGACCATGTACCTCAATATTGGTTGGTGCGAGAATATACCTCAATTGGTTTATTCGAGCCTAAACCTCAATTGGTTTGTTCCAGACTATACCTCAATTGGTTGGTTGAAGCCTTTTCAATCAATTGATTGGTTCGACCCTGTACCCCAATTGGTTATTCTAGGCTATACTCTTTATTTGTTGGTTGGTTTGACCATGTTCATCCAATGATCGGTACGAGTCAATACCCAAATTGATGGGCAAGTACAATATATCTCTGTGTTCTGGTCTGCTCAATAATCAAACTGCTTTGATGTTATATTTTCAGCCCTGTTCGAGTGCGGGTTCTCCAGATCAGACCCATCAATGTGCGGGATGGAGCAATCATCTGATGATGATTTTAACTGGGAACTTAACGACGGCGATAAAAATCGACGTAACTTTGCTGACACCGGGGGAGCAGCAAACGAGGATTACATGTTTATCGAGTCAAGTACTTCGAGATATCCACAAAACTCCGGTGATAAGGCCACTATTTCAACATCAGTCATTCAAGCGGAACTTGGTAAGTTACCTTATAAATACATGATAATTTTTTGTTTTACCCATGTACCACGTGTTTTATAGTAGGGGTTGCTTATCATACTTTCAACTACCCTGACGTCACTAACTCTAAATAACCACACTATGAGTACAACAAATAATGTTACAGTTCTAAAGTATGCCCTGTATGACCATTTACCTATTACACCAATATAAATATATCGTCTAAATGCTATTTTAGGAAAGGATGTAGGTCTTTCGTTTAAATACTTCTTGTACGGAGCTGACACAGGAACACTTCTAGTTGAGATACAAGATGCTGACAAACTGGAACCACCAATTGAAGTATTTACCATCTCAGGTAATTGTATATAAAGTCTTTTGTGGTACTAAAGGCCCCGGGAAACCGCAGTTTAGGACATCCCCAAGTAAACGGATGTTCTATCAGGATGAAGTCTAAAGTCAAGAGAGCTCCGATAGACCACCATTCTCGCCCAAATAAAGCATTTAGATACTAGATAAAACATGTAAAAGTGATGCCCAATCTTGGTTTAATCCAAGAGCAAAGGTGACTGTCATCGCGATACCCGGAGCTTAACTATGAAATGGCTTGAGTGACAGTTGATCAGTATCACAAAAAGCCAAGTGCAAATTAGATAAGTTCAATTGCATATCATATGAGTTATATAGAAAGTTATTGTTAGGTATATTTTAATCATTTGGTTTCAAAACAAGAAATCAATCTATGAAGTTACAATTGAAAAAACGCAGTCGATCTATAACGATCTCGTTTAAATTCAAACAACTGTATGTATTTAGGCGAGCAGCAAAAGAGAGGAGATCCATGGACGACGATTACTTTGGGTCTACCAAGCCGTCTCCAGGACAAACCCTACAGAGTCATGTTCACGGCAGACATCTTGCCTGATAGAGAATATGTCTACAAGGGAGACATAAGTGTCACTGACATCAGAGTCGGCCAATTCACAGCCGGTGAAGGTAAGAAGAAACGTACATACTTGTATGTGATTTAAATCTTTGTACGCGTCGCACGAAACTGGGGACCATTAGCGTAACACTATGGCAATAAACTTTCCACTCGTCCCCTTCACCTTGAAACCCTCACAACTTTGAAAATGTTAAAAGTGTCCATCTAAGAGAATTGGACCTGTGACAGTTGCGAAATTGTGACTAAATCACATGTCCCTTTTGACAAAATGTTAAAGGATAGGTATCGATATGGTGAACTTTTTGAACACACGTTTCTCTTAAACCAGTCATCAAACAATTCTAAAGATTTTACACGTTGATAATGGTCATCTTTTGAATGGTAACTATGTAATTTGAAATAGATATATATACTTTTCTCTATATTGTTTTAGAAAACTTCTTTTGTTCTTGGTATCATACGTTCGGAATGAAATGAAACATCTATCCGAACCTCATTGGAACAAAATGACATAAACATAACGTGTATAGGTCATTCAATATTGTATTTGTACAAAGGAAAGTTTGGTTGATTTTAAAAAAGTATCTTGGTAATGAAATAAAATGTTTATATAAATTTTTATCTATTTTGGGGGTTTTTGTTTTAAATTTTTGAATACTTTTTCTTAAATCAACCAAAATTTCCTTTGTATAACTATAATATTGAGAAGTCTAAGAAAATGTTGAATATGCAATTTTGTTCCAACAAGCTTCGGATAGATATTTTATTTAAAACTTTCACCCCATCCAAATTCCCTAAAATAAACTTAGGTGACGGAAAAGACATAAAAATTTAGTGGAATAATAGCGAGACTACAGCCTCTTGAGAGCCAAATATGACATTATACTCAATAATCATTAAAATTAGGTTACCCAAAGCAGTGTATGACCGGAAGTTGGAGTGTTTGGGACTGTGGTGCTGAAAATGCTTGTGGAACTAATTTAACCTGTACACGAACAAGAGCAATAACGTCCTTAGGGGGCGCCTGTGCCAGTGATGTTGCTACAAGTGAAACCGCCATAAGAACTGTAATCTGTCAACAAAGAAGTAATTACATCAACTTGTATAATATGGCTTGCAAATTCACGAAATAAGGTTTTAACTATTAATCATGAATTTGTAGTTAGTTTTGTCCTAGTAAAGATCATTAAAATGCGTGTAATATATATTTAAATCGAGAAATATTAATAAAGGGTTTCATTTCTCTCACAGCCCTATTCAATTGCGGGTTTGAAAAAACAGACACAACTTTGTGTGGCATGAAACATCAAGTCTCTCCAACAGAGGATGATGATTTCGCCTGGACGTTAAACGATGGTGAAACCGCAAACAGGGATTATCTCGAGACTGGGGCCCCTCTCTCTAACAATTACATGTACATTGAGTCGTCTCCATCAACAGAGGGATTCGTTGGTCAATCTCCTGGAGACCGGGCTATCATATCTACGCCAGCGATCCAAGGCGAGCCAGGTAATGAAATATATATATACTGTTCATATAAAAAAGTCATAAATGATTATCGTTTTTTTTAAATAAAAGTTTTTGTTTTTAAAATAAAAGTTTTAATTGCATTTTGAATAATCTGTTTTAGGAGAGGCTATTGGCTTCAGCTTTGACCACTACATGTACGGAGAGGATACTGGTAAACTTATAGTTCAGTTGCAGCCTGTTGACCTAACTCAGCCTCCTGTGCAGATATTCTCTCGAGAAGGTAAACGAATTAAGGTTTTATACGCTTGAAACCGCGCAATATATTGTTTTGACCTATAATTGTTTTAGAAAATACGGTTGTTAATTTGTTAATTTATTATTTTGTTTATCTTTCTTGTAGGCGAACAACAAACATCCCGTGACCCGTGGGAATCTTCAAAGATCCTGTTACCAAGTGACCTAAATGGTGGCGCCTACTACGTCCAGTTTGTCGGTGAAATTAAGGGTGATGAGAGTACTCCAGATATCTCCCACTATCGTGGTGATACAAGCATTGGAAACATTGAAATAACCGCAAGTGGATCCGACTCTGGTTCAGAATTCAGTAAGTTTATCCATTGTGTAAAGCAAAACTCTATAAATATAGTATAAACAGCAAAGACAATTGTTTATGAATCTTAAACACGTGCTATGTCTTTGAAAACTGACCAACGAGCCAAGGATGTTTATGAATTTGAATTAATGTTCTCAAGAAGAACTAATACATGAACACGATGTACAATGGTATAACAAAAAATAAATGGAATCTACCCCCAACAAACAAAACTATAACATGCCAGGCTGCAGCGGGGCGGCATATTCCTTTTTTCGGAAAACATTTTGAACTTTTGGTAAAAATATAACAAATCTATGTTTTTGTTGTAAACTGTTTATTCTTTTGTTGTGCAAAACATCATGCTGTTGTAGTGTCCAGCTTCTCGGCACCTTGTATGCGGTCATTCTCAGACTGGGACTGTTCACAATGCGGGGGTAGTGTAACAACCTGCTCCAGGATTGGAACAGCCACGAATGATCAATGTGGGGAAATTTTGGAAATAACACAACAGATGACCTGCCCAGCGGACAAACGTAATTATGATTTTTGATTGTAATAACTATGAATTAATAGAAACCATTATTGATTAATGTCCCGTAAAATACGATGACTTCTGGTGCTTCAGTTGTGTTGTTGAAGGTCTACCCACTTTTTAGTTGTAATTTAAAACACCTATTTTCTATATCAGTTCCCATAAATGGTCAATGGAGCATGTGGTCTGACGAAACATGCAATGGAGCGTGTGGAACATATGCCTGCATCAGAACAAGACAATGTAATGACCCAGCTCCGAAAAACGGTGGAAATGAATGTGATAGCAGTTCCCAAGGTGACACGTTGGAGAGAATCGTAGACGGACCCACGTGTGGTAAGTTGTGTAATCTTCATATTAGTCGGACCTTAATGTGTGTGGCAAGTTGTGTAATCTTCATATTAGTCGGACCTTAATGTGTGTGGTAAGTTGTGTAATCTTCATATTAGTCGGACCTTAATGTGTGTTGTAAGTTGTGTAATGTTCATATTAGTCGGACCTTACTGTGGTAAGTTGTGTAATCTTCATATTAGTCAGACCTTACTGTGGTAAGTTGTGTAATCTTCATATTAGTCGGACCTTACTGTGGTAAGTTGTGTAGTCGTTATATTAGTCGGACCTTAATATGTGTAGTAAATTGTGTAGTCTTCATTAAAAAGGACTTGGAGATTTTTGGAAGGCTATGAAAAATGTTTTTTTAAGATGTCGAATTGAAACGTGTCCTTTATCGGCCCAATGCAAATATAATACATATATTTTACTTAGGGCCTTTATTTCAAATATTCATACTGATCATGATGACTCGTGTTATCGTACCCTGCGCGCAGAGTCTAGTTATAAACAGTGAAGACCTGGCGAAACTCTATTAGAAACGATGCCAAACGAATGCAAAGAGTAGTGTTATCGCTTTTCTTTGGAAAGGCACATCTAGAGTCAAGACGTCAGTTTCAGAGTCATATACTACATGTTTTTCATACACTCTAGGCAATGAATGGAGTGAATGGAGTTGCCCCACAGGCTGCCTCACAGAGATAGATGACTCTGCCGTCTGCTTCCGGAAGAAAAATGGCGAAGAAGTTGATTTGGTAGAGACGAAGGATATAAGTGTGCCAATGTGCCCAGGTGAGTAGTTCCGAAAATACTCAACAAACTTCATATGAGGAGAAAGCTAAACACAATGAAGAGTTGAAGATAAGAAAAAAACTAAAAATAACCTCAAGAATGCCACACCTAATGATCCAATCTTGATTTATCAAACAACATTCATTTATTTTTCACAATTTGCAAACAAAGTTACAAGTCACAACCAAGAACCAACCAGTGACCAACCCATGCTACAAATAGAGAAATATGCCCATTTGATATAGAAATTAACAATAAGAATGACAAAATATTCCTTGAATTTAGTTAATGGTATGTGGAGCCCCTGGTCCAGTGAGACATGTGATGCAGATTGCGGAACGTACGTGTGTAGAAAGACCCGCTCTTGCACCGCGCCTGCTCCCTCTAACGGAGGTGCCCTCTGCGGTGATGGCTCGGAGCGTGAGGAAGACCGATCAGCTACCAAAACCAGAACAGTGTTCGGAATGGATTGTGGTAAACATTTTATTATTTTGCGATTATTTATTCAAGTATACCTAAACATGCATTACTAGATTACACCATTTTTGATTTTGCTTTCATTACTAATTATAGTATCTTTATTAATTAATGTACAGTTACAGTTTGTTCTTTGATTAGCTTGTCAGTTTCAAATCGGCTGTAACAATCACGAGTACGCTGAAATTCAGGTTTGCACAAATACATGTATGTAACTATTTGGATACAGTTGTGGCTGAAACAAAGCACTTTGTCTTATCGCCCGTGGCGTAGAGATCATATAAGAAATCTGTGAATGCGTACAGCCACAATTGATTGAGTTTCTCGCTCAATCCCTTGAAGCCCCCCCCTTAAACAACAAGTACCTCTTGATCAAATCTCCAGCTTTTATTGGTCAGAGAACGGTCGATAATTTTCACGATTAATCTCACAATTTGGTCAGAGGTATAACATTTTTCCTTCTACTCTGCAGAAGCGGCATGGAGTGAATGGAGTTGTCCGGCGACATGTATAGATGACGATGGCGGAAGTGCTCTGTGCACAAGAAGACGGCGTCCAGATGGATGGGAGGTTGACGAAATAGAAACAAAGGCAGTAACATCAATTCCTCTCTGCCCAGGTTAGAAAGTTATCATTTACAAATTCGATAAATTACATTTTATCTAGATTTACAGCATTATTGCTTTATAATCTCCTTTATATTTGAATAGTGGATGGCATGTGGACGGACTGGACAACTGAGTCTTGCCTTGGAACGTGTGGTACAATCAAATGTGTTAAATACAGATATTGTACTAACCCTGCTCCTGCAAATGGAGGTCTCGACTGCGGTGAAGAATCCGTCGAGTCTGTGGAGAGAATCGTGGATGGGCCAAATTGCGGTAAATGCTCGTCTGTCGTTTTAGATACTCTTTAGGAAATAAGCAATGGAATGTAATCTATACTATTTTTCTCATCTAATTCTCGTAAAATGATGAAAAGTGATATAGGGTCCTACATGCGCTACATCTTACACATATACTTGTATACACGGTGTATATGTTGGATGATATTAATGTATAGTCTGGTTCCGGGAGCCTAGGTGTGTTTCTGGAAATGTATGTGGTGATAAACTAAAATTGTCATTCCAAAGGTTACTATGATCACTTTTCGGTCGACCTGCTCATATATTCCTGGACGCAATGTCACATATTGAATTAACATTCCATAATAAGACCTAGGCAAAGACTTCGATCAAATGCTCATATGCGTTGACATCATTATTTTAGATACAGAATGGAGCGCATACACGTGCTCGGGCACTTGTGTTCAAAACGTGGGTGATACAGTGACATGTACCCGAAGACGCCGCCTTGATGGCGAGGAAACTGACACTGTTGAGAGTGTTGAGCAGGAAAAACCTCTGTGCGCAAGTAAGTACCTTGAAATTTGAAAAAATCATGTAGCAAATGAATTGGAAAATTCAAAGCGAAAACTACATTGACAGGGGGTTATCTTAGTAAATCTAAAGGAATGCACATGTTTCCTGTATTAGTCACTATTTTCATTACATAATCCAAAGAAGCGACACCAATAAAATGAATTTCTCAATAAATGACTGTAATGGTGACTTCAATTTCACTTTGAGAATTGTTTTATAGGATGGCTTGAATGGACCGATTGGGGGGCATGTTCTGTTACGTGTGGAGGAGTTGGCACAACCCAGACACGTACACGGGAATGCTCTGCACCGCCTGACGAGGAAGGCATTGGTCAATGCAGTGGGTCATCCATAGAGACGAGGAATTGTGGCCAAGTTGCCTGCCCTGGTAAGTTGATATGCATTTACTCTTGTTGGATTGCCATCTAGTCTGAACGCCCATTGTGCCCATTGAGCGACTCTATTCGCTTTTAATCTTGGACATGACTTATCATTTACCTTTAACCTTGTAATTATTTCAAGATCTTTAATTTTAAGAATGGACTACCTGGGCAACATGGAGCACATGTGAGGCAGAGTGCGGGGCTATTGAGACGGCAGTATACATTAGGAGGACTCGGGCATGTATCGGGATGGACGCTCTAATGGGAATAACCTGTGAGGGTGACATTACGGAATCGAAACGATGCGCAGATTCTCCTTGTGGTAAGAGTCGTTTCCAGGGAGCAGTTTAGTGCTCATAGTTTGTTCGTTAATTAGACGCAGATAGCAAAATATTATATCCGTCTGATTCCTTCAAATGTCATTATTACATTTTAAATATTCAATTCTGTGGTAGTAGACAAATATTACGCATGACAGTTGGTAAAACAGAATAGAATTGATGTCAAAAATATTTATGATTGCTCAAAGAATTATTTTCGGATTAAACACGTTCAGACGTTGGCCTTGATAACTACTTCCTTAAAAAGAAGGCTAAACCGTCATCCGGCAGTTGAATTCGCGAATACTACATAATTCAACTGACGCCCGACGGTTTAACCAACTATTTTACGGCCATCTCATTTAAATATGAATAATGCCTGTTACTATTCCGTCCATTCATATTTAGATTTCGTCATAAAATAGTAGGTTAAACAGTAAGTCGACAGCCGGCGGTTGAATTCGTGAATGCTAGATAAATATATGTATTATGTATTATGAGGATGTAATAGCAACTGACAGATTATCAAATTAGTTTGAGATGCATTTGAGACATGCTCTTAACATACTTAGTTTGGGAACCATGGACGACATGGAGTGTATGCAGCGTCCCTTGCGGCGGAATTAGCACCACCCAGACACGAAGTCGTATTTGTCCAGTTACGAACGCCGATGGTTCGATCGCATGTTTTGACGGAGAAGACGATAACACGATGCTAGCGCAAGAATCTCGGGAGTGCGGCAGAGCACCATGCCCAGGTATGTCACATTTTATAAAACAATATGAATAGCGGTAAGGATTATTAGTGTTTTGAATAGATGAAAAGATTGGTATCGATATGGAGAACTGAATTCAACAATGTTTTTCTCTTAGCCAATCATTGAAAACATTCTGTAAAAAGACACGGTATTTTATTGACTGATTGACAATAATTTAATTCGAAAATTATTTAGAAATAACTTATATAACTGTTTTTGTTAACCTTTTTTAGTGCAATTGTTTTGGCTCCTTTCTACCAATTCTTGAGAATGAAATAAAATGTCTTTCCGAACCTTGTTTTTAGACCTCTCAATATTATAGTTATACAAAGGAATTTTTGGTTGATTTAAAAAAGTATTCAAAAAATTAAAACAAAATCCCTCCAAAATAGATAAAAATCAAGATAAACCTTTTATTTCATTAACAATATACTTTTTTAAAATCAACCAAAATTTCATTTGTACAATTACAATATTGAGAGACCTAAACATGTTGTTTATGTCGTTTTGTTTCAATGAGGTTTGGAAAGATGTTTCATTGACTCTGGAAACATGATACCAAGAACAAAACAAGTGTTTGATGTATTTTCTAAAACAATATAGATGAAAGTATATATATATATATATTTTACAAATTATATTGTTAAAATTCAAAAGATGACGATGTGATAAACTTTTAGATTTTTTTATGACTGGTTAAAGAGAAACGTGTGCTTAAAAAGTTCTCCATATCGATACCACTCCTTTAGAATACATACTGAATAAGATATAATCGATTCAAACGATTTATCACCAATCTTTATGATTGACTTGCAATTGCACCTTATGATTCATTATAATTTCCTTAATTGAACATTGCCTTTTTTATACCTTTCTCTTCATTCATAGCATGGAGCGAATGGAGCCCATACACCAACTGCCCAGTAACATGTGGGGCAGTGAACAATAATATACAGTATATGACTAGAACAAGAACCTGCACAGACCTCAACATAGAACTGGGGCTTGAATGCGAAGGAGGTGATACAGAAACCGTCCGCTGTGGCAATGTTTATTGCAGTGAGTAGAACAATATGTAAATATTTTCATATTGTATGTGATCTAAGAATTAGATTTCAATTCTGAGTAATCAGGTTTGCTATTTCACAGTTATTTCCTTGGAAAACCTAAGCCAAATCCCTTCAATATGCTAAAGAATTGAGAACGAGACAATACAAAAGAAGTAAGAACTTTAATTTTTAAATGTCATGCACTTCATATATTCCTGATCTCGATTTATCATTTGAGACTACTTTTTTCCAATGTTCAAGTTTGCTTTACGTACATTTTTCATCAATGTCTTTTATCATTAGGCTGGAACAACTGGGGAGAATGGCCTGTCGACTGTCCATGTGGGGAAACTGTCACCCGATCACGAACCTGCTCTGGAGATGATTTTAACATGTGCGACGGCGGTGAACTTGGTCTTATAGAGAGCAAAACATGCGACCCTTGCCCAGGTATTTAAACGTTTATTGAATGTGAAAACGTGATCAAATATATAAAAACATGTACTACAATTAAGTTTCTCCTTTGAACAAATTATTTTTTCTTCTATGCATTTCCTGAAGAAATATGTATTCAGTCGTACTATATTTATTTTGACCTTAATTGATTCAGTTCCAGTTGATGGAGTCCCTGGGGAATGGTCACCATGGGGAGATTGTTCCACAACATGCGGAGAAGGAGTGCAATATAGAGAGAGAGCATGTGACAGCCCAGCCCCTGCTAATGGTGGAGCTGATTGCTTACAAAGTGATTTGGTTGATAGCGTGTCCTGTAATGTTGTCGCATGTCCAGGTATGAATCATAAAATACATAAAAACAATTGTCAAGCAAATATTAACAGACCGAACAATGTTATTTAGGATTGCCATGTATATATATTTCTACAGTTAAAGGAATCGTTGGTTTGATTTGGAGTGTTTCTCAACAGAAAGATTACAGTTCTATCCACAGGTTCTTACCATACAGTGTGTACATCAGTATTATATCCTTTGGGACATTTAGTCCAAATAGTCAGATAATTTGAAAAATTGTGAGTTGAAATATTTTCATTTCTAGTCGATGGAGTCCCTGGACAATGGTCACCATGGGGAGATTGTTCCACAACATGCGGAGAAGGAGTGCAATATAGAGAGAGAGCATGTGACAGCCCAGCCCCTGCTAATGGTGGAGCTGATTGCTTACAAAGTGATTTGGTTGATAGCGTGTCCTGTAATGTTGTCGCATGTCCAGGTATGAATCATAAAATACATAAAAACAATTGTCAAGCAAATATTAACAGACCGAACAATGTTATTTAGGATTGCCATGTATATATATTTCTACAGTTAAAGGAATCGTTGGTTTGATTTGGAGTGTTTCTCAACAGAAAGATTACAGTTCTATCCACAGGTTCTTACCATACAGTGTGTACATCAGTATTATATCCTTTGGGACATTTAGTCCAAATAGTCAGATAATTTGAAAAATTGTGAGTTGAAATATTTTCATTTCTAGTCGATGGAGTCCCTGGACAATGGTCACCATGGGGAGATTGTTCCACAACATGCGGAGAGGGAGTGCAGTATCGAGAGAGAGCATGTGACAGCCCCGCCCCGGCTAATGGTGGTGCTAATTGCATACAAAGTGATCTGATTGATAGCGTGACTTGTAATGTTGTCGCATGCCCAGGTATATTGTTTATTGTTTACTGTTTCTTTTATTCCCGAAAATTAATCAGAGCAACAAACATAATAATTACAATACAGTTATTTTATACAATATAGAATAATCATGAAATGTAAGAATAATATTTACATGAAATAGTGCTGCACAAATTGCAGCTTATTTGCAATAGTTAGTAAAAAATTACAAAATGTGTCATCATCCAATTGTTGGAGAACATCTGCCTGACTTCCTAGTATGGCATCAATAAAAACATGTGTGTCAGCAGAAAACAGCTTGACACCAGTATCTATGTCTAAAATTGAGACTAGTAAATTAAAAAGTTCGTCTCTCTCACAGATAATTCTGGTATTTTGGCAATGCAATAGGTAATGCACGATTATGAACTCATTGGTAATAATAATGGTGTCACACATTTTACACTTCTTTTCATATACATTAGGTAAGGATAAATGAATGAGATTGCCTAAATTCCAAGTGCATTTTGGGAATTGTCTACCCAATTCCCACATTATGCTTGGGCTGAGGTTTGTATGGACGTTACGAAAATATTGTAAAGAGACATTCTGCTGGCAGCTTTCTTGCCATTTTTTCTCATCAAAAATATGAATTTGGGATTTAGTAAGCAGTCTCCACTTCTCCTTAATCAGATATTTGCCATTACAGATGAATTGTTGAATTTGGTCTGGTATATATTCATATTTTTCAGCCAGATTGTATAGATCATTGATAAATCCTTTCTGTTTAAAAGTTTCCCTGTTGGACAAATAACTTGCCAATCTTAAAATGAAGACTTTTTTTTAGTAATAAAATGTTTGCATCTACATAATCTGTTGAAAAACCCCAATTTAGCCTTATCGATCCTAGCAGATATTGTCCATAATCCAAGGGACGATAAAACTACATCGGACGGAAATCTCATGCCAAAACGTTGAATTGCTTTTGTTACTTGACGTTGTGTAAGTTCTAGCAAATAAATGTCTTTTTTGGTTAGGTTTGACCAAAGCTCACATCCAAATAACATGGCAGGTAATATTATGTTGATCCAGATTCTTAATGAAGTAAGAGGATTTGCATCCTTTACAATGCGGACATAAGCAATTGAGTAATACGAATTTTTGAATAAATAAATAATACCCCCCCCCCCATCTGTTGGTGAAATTATCTATAGGCAAACTGTTTAAGAGTTAACGAAGGGATAAGTCATCAGTGGTAGGTCAGTGGTCCAATTCGGGAGTGTTCTTCAAACGTATCATTTGTAGTTTATCTACTATTTTTTGTCCATTCATCAGTATTATATCTTATTGGACATTTAATCCCAATATAGAGTCATTTTGATAGACTTGATAGTCTGAGTTGAAATATTTTGTTTTAGTTGATGGAGTCCCAGGACAATGGTCACCATGAGGAGAACGTAAACATATTTTTACAACTGAAATAAAAATCCATCCTCGAAGTTCAAGCAATAGATTAATCTATCAACCTATCAAGACCATTGATATATTTTGTTTTAGTTGATGGAGTCCCTGGAGAATGGTCACCATGGGGAGATTGTTCCACAACATGCGGAGAAGGAGTTCAATATCGAGAGAGAGCATGTGACAGCCCAGCCCCGTCTAATGGTGGAGCTGACTGCATACAAAGTGATCTGATTGATAGCGTGGCCTGTAATATTGTCGCATGCCCAGGTATATGAATCTTCGACGAAAAAACATTTTAACTTAACTGGAATAAAAATTAATCCTCGAAGTTCAAGCAATAGAATAATCTATTAACCTATCAAGACCATTGATATATTTTGTTTTAGTTGATGGAGTCCCTGGAGAATGGTCACCATGGGGAGATTGTTCAACAACATGTGGAGAAGGAGTGCAATATCGAGAGAGAGCATGTGACAGCCCAGCCCCGTCTAATGGTGGAGCTGACTGCACACAAAGTGATCTAATTTATAGCGTGGCCTGTAATATTGTCGCATGCCCAGGTATATGAATCTTCGAGAATACATAGAAACATTATCAAACAAACATAAACTGTCCAAATAATACCCCCCCCAACTGTTGGTGTAATTCTCTATAGACCAACCGTTTAAGGGTTAACGGAGGGATAAGTCAGTTGTAGGTCAGTGGTCCAATTCGGGAGTGTTCCTCAAAAGAATCATTTGTAATCTACTATTTTTTATCCATTCATCAGTATTATATCTTATTGGACATCTAATCCAAATATAGAGTCATTTTGATAGATTTGATAGTTTGAGTTGAAATATTTTTGTTTTAGTTGATGGAGTCCCTGGAGAATGGTCACCTTGGGGAGATTGTTCCGCAACATGCGGAGAAGGAGTGCAATATCGAGAGAGAGCATGTGACAGCCCCGCCCCGGCTAATGGCGGAGCTAATTGCATGCAAAGTGATTTGATTGATAGCGTGGCCTGTAATGTTGTCGCATGCCCAGGTATATGAATCTTCGAGAATACATAGAAACAATTATCAAACAAACATAAACTGTCCAAATAAAACCCACCCAGTAATTCTCTACAGACCAACTGATTAAGGGTTAACGGAGGGGTAAGTCAGTGGTAGGTCAGTGGTCCAATTCGAGAGTGTTCCTCAAAAGTATCATTTGTAGTTTAGTGGTGGTGCTAATTGCATGCAAAGTGATTTGATTGATAGCGTGACTTATAATGTTGTCGATTACCCAGGTATTAATCTTCAAGAATACAAAAAACAAACAAGCAGGGATAAACTGTTAAGTGTATAGTTGTAGTTCTATTACACGTTCTAGTCCATACATCAGTTTTATATATCATTGGTCATTAAGTCCAAATATAATTTGATAGTTTGAGTTGAAATATTTTCTGTTTTAGTTGATGGAGTCCCTGGAGAATGGTCACCTTGGGGAGATTGTTCCACAACATGCGGAGAAGGAGTACAATATCGAGAGAGAGCATGTGACAGCCCAGCCCCGTCTAATGGTGGAGCTGATTGCTTACAAAGTGATCTGGTTGATAGCGTGGTCTGTAATGCTGGAGATTGTGTTGACCCCCCTGGTATGAAATTATGTTATCATAAACATTATTGAACAAGTGGGAGTGGACGGAAAAACATTTTAACAACTGGAATAAAAATTAATCCTCGAAGTTCAAGCAATAGAATAATCTATTAACCTATCAAGACCATTGATATACAAGGGGCGATCCATATATTCTGATAAAAATGCTCTCATTTTGTGATTTTTTCACATATTCCTCTCATTTTTTCAGAAAATGTAGATTATGTAATTACACATACAATGCTAAAATATTATAGCTATATCTTAAATTATCAATGAGATAAGGCTGCCATGGTAACCTGTATTAAGGGTAGGCATGTCAATTTAATTATAACATATAAATATCAAAATAACTTGTTATTTTAATTATTTTAAAGCATGCGGAAATCATGCACTTTTTCTAAAAAAGTTTGGTATTGTTACTTGTTGCTAAACAAATGTTTATATGTGCTCACTATAACATCACAACAAATCACAATAGCATTATAGGACAGGATGGGCCAATTGACATTACATGTTATGAGACACACCAAAAATCAAATTGTCAGATTAGGTTAAAGTGGCTGATGCAGAGTGTCACATTAACGGATACATTAGGGAATACCATTAAATTTGATTTCCTTTCAAGAATAAGTAAGAGGACACTGTCAGAGACATACATGGACTCATAAAGTACATGGGCAAGGTCTTATATCTGCATAAAGAATATATAGGTAGTATTGTAAAGAGGAAAGCATGGTCACTGTTGAAGATCATCCGCAATCTGGTTGCAAGAAGAGCTTGCGGACAGAGAGTAACAATACGATAAATTGAGATGTTACTTATGAAAAGATAGCTATCCCACTGTATAAATTATCAAACAAGGGCAACAGGGGTATGGAACAGATCAATGAATAGTTGACAATGACTGGAAGATGCGTTTGATCTGCTTAAAATAGGTACCGAGGAATGATTAAATTAACATATTTATCTATTTTAGACGTTATAATTTAACTGACCTGCCTACCCTAAATACAGGTTACCATGGCAACCTTATTTCAAAATTAATTTAAGATACAGCTAAAATATTTTAGCATCGTATGTGTAATTACATAATCTACATGTTCTGAAAAAATGAAAAGGATATGTGAAAAAATCACAAAATGAGAGCATTTTTATCAGAATATATGGATCGCCCCTTGTATTTTGTTTTAGTTGATGGAGTCCCAGGACAATGGTCACCATGAGGAGAACGAAAACATATTTTTGCAACTGAAATAAAAATCAATCCTCGAAGTTCAAGCAATAGATTAATCTATCAACTTATCAAGACCATTGATGTATTTTGTTTTAGTTGATGGAGTCCCTGGAGAATGGTCACCATGGGGAGATTGTTCCACAACATGCGGAGAAGGAGTTCAATATCGAGAGAGAGCATGTGACAGCCCAGTCCCGTCTAATGGTGGAGCTGACTGCTTACAAAGTGATCTGGTTGATAGCGTGGCGTGTAATGCTGGAGATTGTGTTGACCCCCCTGGTATGAAATTATGTTATCATAAACATTATTAAACAAGTGCTAGTGGATGAAAACTGAAATAAAAATTAATCCTCGAAGTTCAAGCAATAGAATAATCTATTAACCTATCAAGACCATTGATATATTTTGTTTTAGTTGATGGAGTCCCAGGACAATGGTCACCATGAGGAGAACGAAAACATATTTTTGCAACTGAAATAAAAATCAATCATCGAAGTTCAAGCAATAAATTAATCTATCAACCTATCAAGACCATTATTTTGTTTTAGTTGATGGAGTCCCTGGAGAATGGTCACCATGGGGAGATTGTTCCACAACATGCGGAGAAGGAGTTCAATATCGAGAGAGAGCATGTGACAGCCCAGCCCCGTCTAATGGTGGAGCTGACTGCTTACAAAGTGATCTGATTGATAGCGTGGCTTGTAATGCTGGAGATTGTATTGACCCCCCTGGTATGAAATTATGTTATCATAAACATTATTAAACAAGTGCTAGTGGTAAAAACTGAAATAAAAATTAATCCTCGAAGTTCAAGCAATAGAATAATCTATTAACCTATCAAGACCATTGATATATTTTGTTTTAGTTGATGGAGTCCCAGGACAATGGTCACCATGAGGAGAACGAAAACATATTTTTGCAACTGAAATAAAAATCAATCCTCGAAGTTCAAGCAATAAATTAATCTATCAACCTATCAAGACCATTGATGTATTTTGTTTTAGTTGATGGAGTCCCTGGAGAATGGTCACCATGGGGAGATTGTTCCACAACATGCGGAGAAGGAGTTCAATATCGAGAGAGAGCATGTGACAGCCCAGCCCCGTCTAATGGTGGAGCTGACTGCTTACAAAGTGATCTGATTGATAGCGTGGCTTGTAATGCTGGAGATTGTATTGACCCCCCTGGTATGAAATTATGTTATCATAAACATTATTAAACAAGTGCTAGTGGATGAAAACTGAAATAAAAATTAATCCTCGAAGTTCAAGCAATAGAATAATCTATTAACCTATCAAGACCATCGATATATTTTGTTTTAGTTGATGGAGTCCCAGGACAATGGTCACCATGAGGAGAACGAAAACATATTTTTGCAACTGAAATAAAAATCAATCCTCGAAGTTCAAGCAATAGATTAATCTATCAACCTATCAAGGTTATTAAAATATTTTGTTTTAGTTGATGGAGTCCCTGGAGAATGGTCACCTTGGGAAGATTGTTCCACAACATGCGGAGAAGGAGTGCAATATCGAGAGAGAGCATGTGACAGCCCAGTCCCGTCTAATGGTGGAGCTGACTGCTTACAAAGTGATCTGATTGATAGTTTGGCTTGTAATGCTGGAGATTGTGTTGACCCCCCTGGTATGAAAATATGTTATCATAAAACATTTTTTGGACAAGTGGCAGAGAACGAAGACATATTTTAACAACTGTAATACAAATCAATCCTCGAAGTTCAAGCAATAGATTAACCAATCAAGACCATTGATATATTTTGTTTTAGTTGATGGAGTACCTGGAGAATGGTCACCTTGGGGAGATTGTTCCACAACATGCGGAGAAGGAGTTCAATATCGAGAGAGAGCATGTGACAGCCCAGCCCCGTCTAATGGTGGAACAGACTGCTTACAAAGTGATCTGATTGATAGTTTGGCTTGTAATGCTGGAGATTGTGTTGACCCCCCTGGTATAAAACTATGTTATCATAAAAAGATTATTGCTGAACAAGTGAGAGTGGACGAAAAAAACATTTTAACAATAGACTAGATGCGAGTAGAAATGATCTTGATTTACGTCATTAAATATTCAAAATTCAGTCAAAGTGATGCCATATTTGAAATCTACATGTAAAAATACATCTAAAAATATGGTTTCGAAACGTTTATCAACTTTGAAATTTTAATATTTTTTTAAAATGTGACTTCTAGTTCGGGTTGATTCCCCATAGACCTCATATTACAAAATCACAAAAAGTGAAATATCTTTTCTTGTTTTGGACATCTAACATTTTCTGTTACTGGACATACTTTAATTTGCATAACTATTCGATACATAAGGGCTATATGAAAATTGAACCACTAAAACCTCTGTAATTTAAGTTAAAGCGAACTTTCTACTATACCCGCCATGCTATCTGACCCGAGCGAGCCACCTGGTGGTGAAACTGGTAACTACAAACTCGCATTTGCGTTATTGGAATAAAAATTAATGCTCGAAGTTCAAGCAATAGATTAATATATCACCCTTGCAAGCTCATTGAAATATTTTGTTTTAGTCGATGGAGTCCCTGGAGAATGGTCACCTTGGGGAGATTGTTCCACAACATGCGGAGAAGGAGTTCAATATCGAGAGAGAGCATGTGACAGCCCAGTCCCGTCTAATGGTGGAGCTGACTGCTTACAAAGCGATCTGATTGATAGTGTGGCTTGTAATGCTGGAGATTGTGTTGACCCCCCTGGTATGAAAATATGTTATCATAAAAAAAATTTGGACAAGTGGCAGAGAACGAAAACATATTTTAACAACTGAAATAAAAATCAATCCTCGAAGTTCAAGCAATAGATAAACCTATCAAGACCATTGATATATTTTGTTTTAGTTGATGGAGTCCCTGGAGAATGGTCACCTTGGGGAGATTGTTCCACAACATGCGGAGAAGGAGTACAATATCGAGAGAGAGCATGTGACAGCCCCGCCCCGTCTAATGGTGGAGCAGACTGCTTACAAAGTGATCTGATTGATAGTGTGGCTTGTAATGCTGGAGATTGTGTTGACCCCCCTGGTATGTAACTATGTTATCATAAACATTATTGCTGAACAAGTGCTAGTGGATGAAAACTGAAATAAAAATCGATCCTCGAAGTTCAAGCAATAGATTTATCTATCAACCTGTCAAGCTCATTCACATATTTTGTTTTAGTTAATGGAGTCCCTGGAGAATGGTCACCTTGGGGAGATTGCTCCACAACATGCGGAGAAGGACTTCAATATCGAGAGAGAGCATGTGACAGCCCAGCCCCGTCTAATGGTGGAGCAGACTGCTTACAAAGTGATCTGATTGATAGCGTGGCTTGTAATGTTGGAGATTGTGTTGACCCCCCTGGTATGAAACTATGTTATCATAAAAACATTATTGAACAAGTGGGAGTGGACGAAAAAAAACATTTTAAGAACTGGAATAAAAATTAATCCTCGAAGTTCAAGCAATATATTTATCTATCAACCTGTCAAGCTCATTAACATATTTTGTTTCAGTTGATGGAGTACCTGGAGAATGGTCACCTTGGGGAGATTGTTCCACAACATGCGGAGAAGGAGTTCAATATCGAGAGAGAGCATGTGACAGCCCAGTCCCGTCTAATGGTGGAGCTGACTGCTTACAAAGTGATCTGATTGATAGTGTGGCTTGTAATGCTGGAGATTGTGTTGACCCCCCAGGTATGAAACTATGTTATAATAAACATTATTGCTGACTAAAAATTGATCCTCGAAGTTCAAGCAATAGATTAATCTATCAACCTATCAAGGTTATGAACATATTTTGTTTCAGTTGATGGAGTCCCTGGAGAATGGTCACCTTGGGGAGATTGTTCCACAACATGCGGAGAAGGAGTTCAATATCGAGAGAGAGCATGTGACAGCCCAGTCCCGTCTAATGGTGGAGCTGACTGTATTCAAAGTGATCTGGTTGATAGCGTGGCCTGTAATGCTGGAGATTGTGTTGACCCTAGTATGAAACTTTCAATACCAGCCTCACATATATATTGTCACAATGGATGCTGATCAATATTCACAGAAATAGAAATTAAAATAAATATTGATAAAAATTAAAATGAATATTAAATCAAGGCAAATAAGTTACTGTTCCTTTGAAATGCTAGCGAATACAGATATTAATAACGTTAGACAACGAACATATTTTATCCCGAATATCTTGTGTATATATTTGACAATTATTATGTTATAGATCCTCCTGTTGATGGTAACTGGGGAGAGTGGGAGATGTCAGGGGTCTGTAGTGTAACATGTGGTGGTGGCGTTCAAGAGAGAATCAGAGTGTGTGATAAGCCAGCACCAGCGAATGGTGGCAGTGAGTGTACACTTTCAGATGGCTCTGCGACTGCATTGACAGAATATGGTGTAATGGACGGCCAATGCAACACTAAATCGTGTGGTAAGATATCTTTGACGTCTATACTTGAAGTCAATAGCATGTGCATTATTTTCTTCCCGTAGACTATTGTTACAGGGATTTCTATATTATAATAGGATTCATGAAATTAAATCCTCTATGATGTTTCTGATTCACCACACAGTGTATCTGTATTACGTTTCATTTTCAGAATGTTCCAAACCGATGAATATCTTGCTTCTAGTGGATAGTTCTGCTAGTATAACAGCTCAAGGAAAAACTGAGGCATTCCAAAATGTCAGAGACTTTCTAACTTTATTCATCGAGAAAAGTCCCATCGAGAGTGGTGTTTACCAAGTAGGTCTCACCCAGTTTTCTAGTACAGTTAAAACTGAATTCAATGGAACGACATATGGTACAGACAAATCAGCTATGTTAGACTATGTAGCTACTATCGACCATTTAGCTGGACTTACGGCAACATATGATGGCCTTGAGGCAGCTAGGAATGATTTGAGTGACCCAGATAGGTATCGCCAGACTGCCACTGACGTCATCATAGTTATCACGGATGGAGCCTCGGGAGATCCTGTTAGAACTGCTGAGCAGGCCAACCTTAACAAACAAGCTGGAATCAAACAGGTTGCTGTCGGTGTAGGGAATTCAGTTCTGCAGACTGAACTTGAAACGATTGCCTCAGAACCTGCATCTGACTATGTGAAAACAATTGCAAGTTACTCCGAGTTGGCCGCAACAGTCGACGAGATTCACAAGCTCGCTTGCATAGGTAAGTGTCAAAAATCATATTTACCTGATTCAAACGAGACTTAATACGAACGTCGAATTATGATCGAATTACCACAATACCTGAAGTACACGATTGCGATTTTGTGGAATTCCTTGTAGATCCGATTGACGGAGCGTGGGGACCATGGAAGGATGGTACCTGTGACCTTACTTGCGGAAACCAAACTAAAACGAGAACCCGAGAGTGTGACAATCCAAAACCTCTTCACGATGGAGCAGAATGCGTGGGAGAATCCACAGAGGTTGTATTATGTGCATACATACCATGCCCAGGTACAGTCCCCCTACAATATTATATATCAGGTGTCCCAAAAAATGAGCCAATTTTTATTAAGTATTAAGTATTATCTCGGCAACTGAATAACCAAATTCACTGAAACGTTTTACAAAGTAGCCTAAGGGTATTCTTAAAGCAAGTTGTAAAAATATGAAAAAGATCAAGTAAATATTCTAATATGTGAGTTCTAAGAAATTCAAAACAGCATGTCAAAAATTCCCATACCGGAGCTCTGATATGAGACTTTAAAAATGTTTGTACCAGCTATCAATGAATTTGGCTCATCTATTGCTGAGAAATTACTTCAAAGTGCTTCTCATTTTTGGTAGAAATGCTATAAAGTTCTCATTGCGTTGCTCCGGTATGGGCTATCATGACATGCTATCTTGAATTTCTTAGTACTAACATAACATTTAATTGATCTTTTTCATATTTTTATACCTTGCTACCGATACTCCTGGGCTACTTTGTACAAATTTTCAGTGAATGTGGCTCATCAGTTGCCGAGATAATACTTGTCAAAAGTGGCTCATTTTTGGGACACGTGATATATGTACGCATGTACTCACAATAGCAGACCTGAAGTTCAGATCTAATGAAATAGTATAGACTGCTTAAAGATTTTAAAGTTATATCTGATCAAAAAGTTTAACGTTGGATCTTCAATTGTCATGTTTATATATCTATAGTTAATGGAGGCGTTGGTCAGTGGTCAGATTGGGGAGAGTGTTCCACGACATGTGGAGATGGAGAGAAAACTCGTACAAGAGCATGTGACAGCCCTGCACCAGCCAATGGTGGAGCTAATTGCAGTCCAGATGATCTGATTGAAATCCTTATCTGTAATGTTGTCGAATGTCCAGGTACAAATACACTGTTAACCAACAACTTAACCCCCTAAAGAACGACAGAATAATAAATTGATGTTTAAATTGTGTTCATATAACCTGTGAAACTATCCTAAGCCCTGTCTAAGTATTGCAACTTGAAGTTATCAAATCTAGCCATCGCCCATATATGTATAAGTATCTTTATGAATTTTCATCGACAGTAAATGGTGGCTATGCTGAATGGAGTGTATGGAGCAGTTGTTCAACTACATGTGGTGGCGGAGAGATAGCTCGTGAAAGAACCTGCACGGATCCAGCCCCAGCATACGGGGGCGACGATTGCGTAGGAGACAATCTCGAAACTGATGTCTGCAACACTTTCCCGTGCCCAGGTAATAATGAAAAGAATACCATCTAAATTATATTCCACCAAGAAACAAAAATAGCCGTTCATAAAATAGAACATGAATTCACTTATTCAATTTGAAAATCTGCTAAATGTAGAAACGTACCTTAAGAATACATTTTTACAAATGGCAGACATTTTTAATTATTCAACATAAGTCTTATACCAGTTGACCATTTAGTACTTCAGCGTTAAATGATACCCTGATTCGGGAATTATCAAAAATTCTCAAAAGTGATCAATCTCTCCAATTATATTGATACGTATAGCTCCTTGTACTTTTTGTTCATAGGATGTGAAGAATTCATGGATATTGCACTGGTTGTTGACACAGCGGGTAACGATGCCAACTCAGACATTAACAAATATTTAATTGGTCTCACTGAGGAGCTCAATCACGCCAAGTCAAGGGTCGCGCTGTATTCCTTCTCTGATACTGTAACTCAAGAGTTTTCTCTTGAGGATTTTGCGGGAAACGAGACTTCTGTCAGTGATGCTATATCGACTGTTAGTTTCAATGGCGGAACTACGAGAGATACTAATACTGCACTCATGGTATGGTTGGCTTACATACGAATTGATCCCCACAACCGAACTTCAAAACAAACGAAAATCAATTTTTTCGTTATTAATACGTCTATTTAACAGAATAGTTGCAGTATCACAATTTCAATGACATAAGACAAGTAAGTTCCTTTCAACTAATTGGTAAAATAGTCAAAAACATGTCATTTTATATATGATTTTTGTAGACGGCTGGAGATGAATTGTTTTCCGCCAGAGAAGATGCAATGCGTGCAGTAATTCTCGTAACAACCGGTGCGTCTATAGATCCTACAGAGGCATCTATAGCCGCTGAGAGTCTGAGGTCAGAGGGCATCGAGGTTTTCCATATTGCTATTGGAGCAGAGGCCTCTGCTGAGACGGCTTCAATTGCATCAGTGGATGTGTCTGCTCACAGTGTATCATATGACAGTCTAAATGATATAGGAGCAAATACAATTGATTTCATCTCCGAAATAAGCCTATTTTGTAAAGGTACTTGTTGGTCATTTCGTAATTTTAATGATAATGAAAGACGAAAGTAATTTCTAAGCGGACTTTTATGATTTCTGCAATGTGTAATGTTTTCTTCATTTTATGTGTACATTCTAGCTTTCTTTAATGAGATGTTATTTAAGATGAACGCATAAATGCATTGGAATTTCAAAAGTACAATTGATATTTTTCAGCTCTTGAGAGATAATCTGAATAGAAGAATATAAATCTTCGAAGGTTATCCTGATAAAAGTTTGAAGCAATAACAATAGGAACTGTTAAATTACAAGTATAAACGAATATAATAACTTTGTGTGTTTCACAGCTAAAGCGGATGGCTATTGGTCGGTGTGGTCAGCCTATGGCGAATGCTCAGTAACATGTGGCGGAGGGTTCGAAGAAAGGTACATGTAAACCTACGAATAATTATGATCGTTTCATTTTGTTTATTTGCTTGGTACTAAAAGCTTAATGTAGCACAAATCAAATATCCATAAAAAAAACGTTTAAAATTTAAAGGTAGGTCTAACAGATTGTACTGACAGACTGAAATGTTAGAAATAAAAGTGTGTCCTAAAGTCGTCACATGGTTATACGGTATTGGATAGTTGGGTTTTGTATTCCATATGACTGGTGTAGTCGTTGATGTTTTATTTTTCTTGCTTATCTATATTCTGTAACAATTGTTGGTCCTTCCCTTTGACACGTTTATGTGCCTTATTTGTATAAAGCCAAACTTTAAACGAAGTAATTGGTTCTAAAACAGGATATCTCTGTGTCAATAGTACCTCTTTGATCTATGATACACTCATCATTAGCAAAAGCGTTGAGATGTTACCTGTGCACCTTTATGTACTGATCCTGAACGCCTTTACTCTAAATGTAGGACTCGTACCTGCGACGGACGCAGATATGGTGGACTAGGGTGTACTGGAGCAACGTCCCAAACTCGAGTGTGCAATGACATCGCTTGCCCAGGTAACTTTGGGGTTTATATCTATCACCTGAAGGTATAGTGTTTATCTGATTCATGCATGCATGTATAGTACATGTACATACAATGTATAAGAACTGTATTAATAACTAGAATAACTTGTTTATTTCCTGGAGGATAACGTGAAACCAACCCCTACGATATCACATTCTCATAGTAAAGATTTGGGTGATGTCATTTTAGCAAATATTTGCAATATTTTGATTTTGAATTGTGTTTACTACCTGGATTTGTATCTTGACAAATATTACCCATTTGACAATGGTAATTATTACAATCATTAACATTTTCATCATGTGTATCCATCTTAAGTGAATGGTGTTTGGTCTGACTGGTATGAATGGAGCGCATGTACCACAACATGCGGAGGAGGAACCCGTGAAAGCAACAGGGAATGTAATAACCCTGCACCCTCTAATGGTGGAGATGATTGCGCTGGGGATAGCATTCGTATAGAAGAATGTAGCACAGAGGCCTGTCCAGGTGCGTTTTATTGTGATTATTGTTCAAAGTTAAACAATCTTAACATACTATTTGAAATCCTATATTCTTAGTATTTTTTACTCTTATAATGCATATTGTCAATGACAAATATGATTTAGTTTCAAAGTGTCGTTAAGACATGTGGTGGGTTAATAGTATAGGTGCTTAGGGATGTTATCGTATTATTATATCGTGCATTGACTGACTTATTTTGGCTGTATATGTAGACCCTATCGATGGTGTATGGGGTGAATGGTCAGCATACGAATGCAGTACGACCTGTGGAGGGGGTGTATTGGGTAGATCGAGAAACTGTGACAGCCCTGCCCCACAACACGGAGGACTCGCATGCCCTGGAGAGGATTTCGAAACAACTGACGAATGCAATACTGAGAATTGCCCAAGTGAGTCTTAACTGTAAATGTAGTTTGTTAAAAAGTTTTCAACAACTTTTATTGCAATTAATTCATTAATTGTTTGTATAGATAACGCAATCTTAGAGTAATTTAAATCCATGATCAGTGCCACCAAAGACAGAAAAGTAAACAAACTGCTTTGGAAATAAAATAATAATATTCAGAACTGTTCGTAGTTGACGGTAATTGGGGTGGGTACGGACCATGGAGCGACTGTACTGTAACATGTGGAGGGGGAAAGAAGTGGCGTACAAGAACATGTGATGACCCGGCTCCAGCTTATGGCGGAGCGGACTGCACCGGATCCTCTAACAACACCAGGAACTGCAATACACAGGGCTGTCCGAGTAAGTGATAAAATGTCAATTTTATTGACAGCAAACCTTGGCAGGTAAAACTTTTATCGATTTATTGGCACGTAATACTGACTCGAACATCTCCCGACACTATGCTAAAAGGGGCAAATATTGTATGGCAATATTTTTTTATTGTTCAGCTCATGCAATGTATATTTTAATTTTTTTATATATAGTTGACGGGGCTTGGTCAGTTTGGCCTGATTGGAATGATGCATCAGTCGTATGCAGTGTCACGTGTGGAGGAGGCACCAAGACAAGATACCGTACATGTACTGACCCAGCTCCCCAGAATGGTGGTGCGGAATGTCCAGCTAGTGATCCCGACTCTGAGACTCATCCAGACCCTTGCAATATAGATCCTTGTCCAATTGATGGTTATTGGGAAGCTTGGAATGAATGGTCAGTATGTTCGGTATCTTGTGGAGAAGGCTCCCAGAGTACGAACCGAACATGCGTTGAACCAGAATTTGGAGGCGAACCTTGTTCGGGTGCCTCGTACAAAACTAGGACATGTACTGCAGATTATGGACCATGCCCTATTGATGGGGTTTGGACGGACTGGGGATGGGCTGCTGGTGCTTCAGGAGAATGCAGTGTGATTTGTGGAGGAGGTAAAAACAAACGTAGCATGCAATCTATGTAGTATTTGTCTCATCATGATAAACCATGACATCCCAAATCTTCTCAGCCCTGAGATGTTTCAGGTGAAACAGAAAGATGCTATGAGTATCAGAATGTATTTGTCTTGATATTTTCTTTCACCAATGGTAATAGTATTTGTTTCCATGGATGAGTTATTGTATGCTCGCGCTGTGAACAAAATATGCATGCAGTCTTTAGTATAAGTCCCGATTCTCGAGTTCTTGATACGTTTTTTCATATGATGATACCTTACGTTTTTAATCAGGTATTCGCACCCGGATTCGTGAGTGTGAAGGCCAGGCTTACGGGGGACTTCCGTGTGATGGTCCCGATTCAGAAGACGTAGAATGCAACACTCGGCCTTGTGGTAAATTGCATATTCTATACTATTATATAAAACTAACAATCACAGGAGGTTGCATTGCCAGCTATTGTCATATGAGTGACAATTTGCCTTAATTTTCGATATAGTCTTTGATCCATATCGATTTTTACCCTTTAAAACACCCTCAATGTGTATGAAAACAGCATTTTTGTGTCACCACCAAAAGTGGTGACATTATTGTTATAGTTTCTAACATTTTTGAGGACCGTGTTCGGTGGTACTTGGTGTTCAGGGCTAGCGTTTGGCGTCTGTAACAAATTAAGGGCATGTTTTTGTTTTTTTAACTTAAAAAATCTCATATTCTACCATGCCAATGGAGTTTTACATACTTGAGAAATCAAGAAATTAAGTGGGTTTAAATGGTATGTGTTGACATTTTGTCTGCTAATGCCGTGTTCATTTATACTGAAAGTAGGTCTACATCAACTAATTCAGAGAGTTATTTACCGCAACATAACACATATGTTCTAGATAACATCAATGGCCAGTGGTCAAGCTGGGCTTCGGGTGGATGCAGCATAACGTGTGGTGATGGTGGCATCGAGACCTTTACAAGGTCATGTTCCGACCCTGCTCCTAAAGATTATGGTGAATATTGTGCTGGAGAGGACGTCATGGAGAGTCCGTGTGATTTCATTAACTGTCCAGGTACGCAGTTGAATTTGTCGCCTTGACAACCACATAAGACATGACCTTGGTTGCGGTGATTGGTTAGATAATGCACTGGCACTGCAGTTATATGAAATACTATGTTCGAATTGGCTGGAGTTAAACACACCTTGCCTAGCTATGTATGGATTCCTATAAAATAGTAGAACATGCACTCATGCTTTTAAATCCAATATAGAATGATACAGGCCTCACACAAATTACGATTCAAGTCCCCGCTATCCATTGATCAGCTTTTGCATCATCACATGAAAGGTATGCCCATTGTACTGTACTACGTACTGTATGTTTGTAGTAAATGGTGGATGGTCAAATCACTATTCATCATGCAGCGTTGGTTGCGGCGTCCCACAGGGTGGAGTGATAACCAATAACAGAGTTTGTGACAATCCTGCACCACAATTCGAGGGTGAATATTGCAGTGGAAGTGAAACAGTGACATCAGCATGCAATGTCGATTTGTGTAAGTGATCTGGCCATTTTACTGTCACAGAAACACTGAAAACCAATACTGTCTAAAAGAAAATAATTCCTGACATTGATCTAAGCATTGCACCAATCATTATCAAATTACCCAATCATTGCTAAAATTTTAAGTTTTTTCTTGTTCGGTATTACTCATTGATACCATTACTATAACAAATTTAAATTATAAAATTATACTTTTTCTTCAACTAGGTTGCAATCAACGCCTTGATATTACATTTGCTGTTGATATGTCGAGCTATACATTTGACAACCCAACTCGTGCCGCATTCATTGCATTTTTTGATGCCTTTATTGATGCCCTGGACTCCGGTGCTGATAGAGTTGGTTTTAATAGTGACTTCCACATTGCTCTTGTTACATATGACGAATCAGGGAATGTTGAGTTCCCGTTGAACCAGTATGAGTAAGTTGGTTGAATTTCATCATGTATAACCCTTGATTCAAATTTTCGTTCAGAAAGTACTGCAAAGTTAATGCCTACAATGTTTCAAACTCATTCCATTGTTCTCCACAGGACTTTTTTCTCAAGTGGGTGCAAAATTCTCATTTTCACAATTCAGACCAAAATTGGTCAAAATATGCCTATTTTTCATGATTTTTCTCATTTTCAAGTGGGTGCAAATGGATATTCAGATGGGTGCAAGCCTGTTTTTGAAATCTAAGGTCGGTGCTACGTCCACTTGCTTTATGATTCATTTTCAACGTTCTGCTTATTTAACAGGACAAAGGAAGCTATCAAAGAAGCATTCAGGAACCGCCTCACTAGCACTGCCCTATCACCAGCAACTACAAATATTGAGGATGCTATAAACACAATCAATACGGATATTTGGGACGAGACGCTAGGAGACAGGCCTGATGTTGATAACCGAATCATTATCATGGGGCAAAATACAAACATGCCAAATAGTCCTGTGAACTGGGCCGATATCACAAGAACTGTAAGTCCCATCTTCGTTAAAACACTTTGGTTATTTTGAAAATGGTCATTATATTCATTTGTGTTTACCCTTTTTTCGAAGCAATTTGTCGCTCATATAGTTTCATCTCGTCATCTATGAGTGTAATTGTATGATGATGTGTTTTAGAGCGATACTGCCATCCAGAAGGAAGAGTATTTTGGAATTGGCGCACAGTGGACTCCAGACCCAGATGCTTTAAGGGCTGAATTCGAAGGTAACAAAAAGTGCTGCAAAATCATATATTGCCCTCATTGATATCGATCATAAGAAGCTTGGTATTGGTGTCATTTATGGCATATTGGAATTGGTCTTATTCTAAGGAGTTCGTTCAGTGCTATTGGGCTTTCTTTTTTGTCTCTTGCAGATGTGAAGGTTTTTTAGCTAGTGCATGCACGTTCACTAGAGTTATATACTATGAAAATGGAATAACGTTTTCAGAAATGTGTTAAAAAAGTTAAAAACAGCAAGAATTTTTGCACATGGTTGTAACTTGTAATTCATTTTTTATATTCAGAAATCACGCAGAACCCTGAGCACGTAGGAATATGGCCTAATACCGACCAGGCTTCACTGTCACAACACGCAGTAGAATACGCCGCAGACCTCTACACCAATCACTTTACATGCTAAACCTCAATGACGTAGACAAGTTATGAAAAATGAACATGAATTTGTTGACATATTTGTGACTATGGATTATAATTTTACTTGTACCTTGGCTTGGAGTACAATAGCTTATTTGAAAATAGTACATTAATAGATTATGGAATGAAGCAAAACGTTAAATGTGTGTCGATCACCTTAAAGTAAACCATGAGAGTTTAGTCCATTTTGTTAATCCGACCCTTCTTCAATAATTGAATCATCTTGTACTATTTCATTTCGAATTTCGTGAGAAAGAGAAACTCTTATTCCTTACGAAGGACTTTTCAGAGTTACTCTTAAATACTATATTTATATTCAAAAATTAAAAGTAGTCCATTCTAAATCAAGGTTCAAAATTAGATTACTATTTAGAATTTCATGAATGAAACACCATTCCACTACGTTTCTATATCATCACTGTGGCTAGTCGATCTATGTGGATGCAGTCATTTATATGTAATGTTACGTGGGTACTCGCGTACATTATAGGGAATGGGATCATTGCAAAAATATGACAGCAAATCAAGGTAAGTGATCTCAGAGATTCTACTTAACATTGTGACTTGAAATCTTGCATACATATTCAATATACATAGTATGACAATGTGTGAAAGTTTCAGCTACCATATTCCTGTTATAGGGAAGATATTTGAAAAACATTTCGTAAACGTCAACATATATGTATAAAATGGATGTACCTATGTATCATTTGGATTCAGAACGGTAACAAATGGATGCTTTAATAAATTATACTTTTATCATGATGATTTATTTACTGATGGACAACTGGCCAGATTTTCTTTGTATCCATTGTTTGGATAAACATTCCTCATTCAGGAAAGTAATTAGCCACCCCACTACAAGTAGTCTAAAGACACACTCATGAAAAATACTATATATAAACCCATCAACTGGAAAATGCCATTACAGATGAAATAAAGGACCCACGGTCCTGTGCTCTCACAGTTTAGAACCTTCAGAGGAATGTATATCCTGATTTTCAAACAAAAGTATTGGTAAATATGAGATCAATAAAAGATGAGTCCTTTGTTGTTGGTTCAGATATGATTTGTAGTAGTCAAAGGAAAAACTATGAATTTGACCTAGATTTTGACATAGGCCTTTTAGTGTCCAAATTTTAAAGGAAAGTAGATTTTGAGGACGGCTTCTATTGTAGATTCTTATTAAGTTGGCTGCATCCAAGCTGTATCTAGTGTTGTGTTGTTACAATTGATAATTTTCTCAAGCCCCATTGACTTAACATGGGATACCAAAATAGCGATTTTTGAGATTTCAAAATGCCATAGCTTCCGACCGGAAGTCGGATCAAAATCTTGTTTGCAGATTCGGATTCCTTGGACAATTCTTCACATATTTCATAGCTCATACATTGAATTCCAAGAACTTTTTTTATTGTGACCTACTTTTCGGATGCCATATCTCAAAAACGGTAAGAGTGATCAAAAACAACTTGCCTGTAGGGATTAGCTTTTTTCAAAGGAACATGATTAAAAAAACGGAGCAAAAATATTAAAGGACGACTGAGAAAATTGAAAAAATGACAAAATACTGGTTTTGACCTAGTTCTTGACCTTTGACCTAGATTAAACCTGATTAGACCTAGATCTTGACTTGGTCCTGAACTGGACCTTGACTTTGACCTAGACCTGGACTTGGACCTGGAAATGGACTGGACTGGTATTTTTTCAATCTTTTCTTCACTTCTCTTGACTTTCTATAAGGCTATCATCAGATCGATTTTTCTAGAAATTTAAAAATCAGCAATTTCTCGGAAACCGGCCGAACTTGGGAAATGGCGATTATATGTCAAATATTCATTATGGATATGCATAAAATGAATGTGAAAATGACTCAATCCGAATAGCAGTTCTAATTTGTGCAGCCAATGTTGACAGACGGACGGAGCAACGGATGGACGGACCAATGGACGGACACCTGGTCGATCCCATAGGCTCAAAAACCATGGTTTTATCGCTATTACTGTTAATTTGAAAAACGGGTCCATAAAATGTAATGATGACAATGAAAATGTTGAAATTAGGTACGCCAATGAAGTGAATTCAGAGCAAAAGACCCATCGACCCACTGGAATACCCACAAATCAAGTTTCATAGCCTTGCCCAAGTCAGTCTCTTTTACTTATCTTGATTTCTATTATAACCGCCTTGACCCAAGAGAAAGCCACGTGCTTTACCGACCCAATGTTTTTGTCGGTAAAATTTGACAAATCAACGACGGCCCTACATTGTCGGACTAGGTCTTCGTGCATTTCCATCACGAATTCAGTTTTGATTTCAACATTGAATTGCATGATTTCATTTGGACGAGTATTAATGACTGCTTACATTCCAATGTACATTTAATAACATAATATATTGTAACTCTCAAGAAACACTCGATCAAATCATTGAATTTCAAGTCCTAGACGGGTAGTTTGCTTTTTATGCAGGTCAACCTGTTAACGTTTTGATTGGTCAATCAGCCTGAAGTCACACGTTGTGTCCATGTCCATATTGTCAATCAATATGGTTTTGCGATACCCTTAGGTAGCCTATAAGGTATTATGGGAATCTCGGAACCGCTGAATAACTTAGCATAATATCAGCGATGATGCATTGGATTGTACTAGGTGGTATAGATCAGATGAGTAAATAAATACCGACTTGGGCAAGGCTACAAGTTTCAGAGCCATTAACATTCCTTGAAAGTGACAATGAGCAGCCAACAGTTGGACCATCCATTGATTTTGTCAGCTCAGCTGAACGAGCCTCCAGATTCCTTGAAACAAATGACCATAATTCAAGAATAATATTATTTATTTACAATTTTTTGAAATCGTGGTAAGTGGAAATATTTCCAATTACCAATATAGCGTTATTATTGTTTTTGGACACCGTGGATTAAAATATTAAAAATACACACATTCAAAATGATTCAATTGAAACCTAGCCAGTCTGTTCAATGAATCCAATCAGAACGTCTACTAATCCACATGATACATCATAATTAAATTGCTTTTTTAAAGCGGATATTTCATAACATAACCCCAAAAATATTATAGGACGCATTGTATTTGTATTTTACTTCACACAGACATATTTGTGTTTGTGAAATAATTATATTACTTGAATTTTTTATTCCCCATTACAAGGTAAACCTATGGCAAATTATACATACCTTCTCACAGCTATGAGCGAGATGATAAAACTGGTTGAGTGAACTCGTTTGAGTTATCTATTCTTCGTAAAAATATCAGAGAATGTGTGTTTATAGTGTAGCTTTGGTTTTCTATTTCAATGAAGTATGATATACACGGATGAGTAAATATAGATTATTTAAACAGAAGTGCAAAATTCTTCCATTGAAAAGTACAGAGGCGGGTACTCACGAAACATTACATGTGCCTGACTGCATCCACATAGATCGACTAGTCACAGTGTATCATTGTAAAATAAATAAAGTGGACATGCAGCTACATGTGCTTGATCATATACTCATACTTGCAGATCTAGAAAATGAATTGCTTGCATATAGAAATAAATAAAATACCTTTCGGCTAACAATAGTTTTGTCTTGTTTGAATGGTACTCACTAGTCTGTTAGTGATGAAGCGATTTACCTATGACGACGTGACCCCATGTTCAACCCTCTCTACCCCCTTCTTGGTTAAGACTATTGCGTTAATGGATTAAGGGTACTGTGACTGTGGTTCACGACTCATTCAAAAGGCTGGCGTGTTGGTGTGAAAGAAATTATGGTCCCCCGGGGATTATGGTCCCCCTTCTTAACGTCCCTTACTGGCCCTGATGGTGTATAAGATAATAAGGGAAAGAGGTCACAATATAAATCAATGTAGAGTAGGACCATAAATTGATAGGACCTACCCTTTTACACCGGGCAAGACCTACTTTGTTGCATGTTTATTTTTTTATTTTCAACATCCATGAACAAAAGCAAGTTACACATTTGGTTTTGGCAATAGTATTTATTATCATACGTATATCAATACAAAGTAGACATGTTTAATGAAATGAAACATATTTCATCGTAATTATGTATTTAAACGTAAGTTTTTTCAATATTATACAAAATAAAACTTTTTTATACTTTTCTCGTAACATACAAAACCTGTGTGTCAATTATAACTTATAACGTGTCATTACTTGATATTATCATTTACTATTTTTGATGAACTTTATAACAATGTTGTCCCATTATCAATGCCATGGACGTTTTATTGAATTTCTATAAAATGAAATAAATATAATAATGCATTCATAAGACGTATTTATAATAATATAGTTACTTGATACAAAATACCAAACGATCGTACACATATAATGTATACATACAGGGTTCTCTTCGGCCCTTTTACATAGTTTCAGTTATATAAATATTTCTTTTCAAACGATATTTACATCGATATTTACAAATGTGCAATATTTATATACAATTACAATTACTGGCATTAGCTTTGAAGTATTTGTTTTCGTTCAGTGCATATGCCAGTCACATACATTATCCGCATAGCATCCTCCAATTGAACAAGGCAACATAATTTAGAGCTAACAATGTATGATTTCAAAAGTGTTACTGACATCACCGAAGCTTAATTTATAAATGCTAGAACTAAATTCATTTTTTAAACACTGACTATCTAAAATAAAAAATAAAAAGTTTAACTGTTTCAAGGTGATTTCATTATCTTGAAATGGTGAGGGAAGTGGATCCATTTCCGCGAAGGAATAAATATGCAACATTGTTATTGGAGGATGCCATTGAATGAGCTAAAGTATAACACAGCTTCCCAACTGGTCACCAATGAGCAAATAATAATTAATTCATGCACTGTTCAGTTCTGGATATCCATTTGCTGAATAATAGATCCTCACCTCCCATATGACATAAATACTTATAATGCGTATATTCGTATATCTGTTTCTTTTAATACTGTATTTGGGGTTCATTTTAGTGTTCGGTTATATCATGTCATGCTAGGATTCATTCGATGCCCGGGGATTAACATGTGATTTAGAGAGAGACGATGGGCTAAGACCACGAACGGTAAATACACTGAAATTACGAACGCATTACGTTCAAGGTACTGCTGCCGCTCTTTTGGCTCATGTATAGGATACCGACTAAACATCAATTCGTTAGCTGTGTATGGGAGTACTGGTTTTGAAGTGAGACATTCTCGTAATAATATGGCAATACGAAGGCATTCTATCTAGTTCTCGCTACCTTCGACAGATTAGCAAACGTGAAAGGATTAATACTGAAATAACTACTAAACTGTCTAATAGATGTCTCTGAGATCCAGCTGAGCTATTTGAATCAGAATGGCTGTCTGGTTTAGTATACACTATTCTATCAATGTTTTCTTCTTTAATGGGACCAGGAGGTGGCTCCGTATTTTTAGTTATATAATTCACGCAGGATCCAGCCTGCGGGGTGAGTGTATATTTTAGAGGGATACCAAATATATGTGAGGCATCGGAATTACAGATTCTATCGGTTGTGAATTCTAAACTGTTGCTATGATTTCTGAATACCTGAAATGAAAAACAGAGCATGTTATGATTTTATGAATATACACGTGTTTTCGACATACTATCGTCGAATTGTCTTCTTGGAGTACATACTGCAGATATGACCGTATAACTTCGATTTTCTGGACATATGCATGGGAAATATGGATAAAGAATGATATGGGTATTTACAATGGTATTTACTTGCAATCATCAAAGGAGACGACCCTGTTGATCATGTCGGTCAATTGAAATAAGTATATACTTATCTAGAAGTACCTTTTTTATTAAGTATAAATAGATGAAAATTTACCAAGCCATACTTACAAAACAATTAGCCGCATCAGATGAAGAATCTTTAGATTTAGCAATTATATATGATGACCCTCGATGTGACCAACTTGTGAGACACGTTAAATCTTTGCCTAAAGCTGGAAGTAATTTAACACATAAAATGAGTATTAACCCCTGGAATTGTCACTATTATAGTCAACAGATCATTCCTTTTGGGTGTCGCAGGCATCAACGAATAAGCATTACTTAATACCTATGCATAGCATACTTCCAAATCAAAGTGTTGAAAATTTAAGAATATTAGTTGAAAATATGAGAGAAATTAACTCACAAGAGCAGGATAATGGCTCAGAGAAAAATACATTCTATCAAAGACTTATCAATTTAACTCCTTGATATACATTCGTAATATACTGAACGTTGAAATGTTACTTCACATACCTGCATTGTGCGGGCCACACTTAGTTTGTATTTGTATTTGGTTACGCCCAGTACATGTGCTCTTCACGAGGGCGGAACACTGGCTGCTCGCCCCTCTGAACTGTCCACTGAATGGACACACTGATCCGTTGGGAGGAGCAACTGAAACATTTATTAAAACATGATTTATAACAACAGCAACTGAAAGAGTGGTTTATAAAATTGTTAATTTGATATATTTGACAAAATGAGTATAAATTGATGATCCAATAAGTTAGAATAAGGAAATTGGCATTTTAAAATGCGATATACGATTTTACTGTTATCTTGTTTCTAGTAAATTTATTGGACATAATATAATGGACATTTGGAAGCTGCTAGGAATTACACATGCATTGGAAATGCTAAACGGTTGAACAACATTTTTTCAGCTCAGGAAGACAGTACCATATAATATTTCGGTATCAATAGCTTGGAAATCTTGGCATTCCCCCACAGCATGGTCTTTGCTCTCGTATAGTCGGCCCTTTTGCACCTCTAGGACGTGTTTGCTCCGTTTGTGTAGTCGAATACATTGGAATTGCGTTGTGCTAAAATGCAAATATATGATTGTTGCAATCTCAAAGTATTGTTCAAGAATGGCGAATGACAATTGTTTGGAAATTCGATAAAATGGGAACAGACAAACAACTTATAATATCAACTTTGTTCAAAGCACAAATTACACCAGTTACCATATCATTTCTCATACAAACAGATGAGAGAATATGAGTAAGATGAATATGCTACGACTCATAATATTTTTTTTCAATCATGACACAATGAAATCTAGTTATTCCACACTAATGTGGTTATTCGCACTAAAGAGGCAATGTCACACAAAGCATATACATACCATCCAGAGACCGCATAACCGACAAAGGTGAACATCTTATCATTGTTTCTAGCTTGGTATTTCTCCACGCATCTGAGCAAGCCCTGAACATCCCCACGTCTGCCCGAAGCGGTCCTCAGATGAACCCTGAAGTTCTGGCGCTCCTCGTCGGCCTTCAATATATGTTTGCCTGACAGTGACTTCCATGCTCGCTTCGTTGCCCATGTTGGAAATGAGCATTCAGATGTTGGCCATTTGAAGGGATCTGAGAAAGAGACAAGTTGATAAATATGACAAATCACAAATAAGAAAATCGAGAAATGAGGAGTAGAAAATGATGAACTGTAGAAATTGATGATCTGTTTGATATAAATCTGACTTGTACTTTCATCACTAAGTGTCTATCATGAGTCCAGAGCATAAATAGCATTGAAATTGCCTTGAGTCTTTTACTGGATAAAATTCGCAAAATTAGAGTATGGGCTAATTAAAGAGATTTAATAGCGACATGTCAACTTTATACTTTATTAAAACCTACAAAACAACCCCTATATGAATCAACCCAGGGGCCTAGGTAGCCAGGTTCTAAAAACAGGCGAGACAAATTCCACTAGGCAAGGCATTATAGGCAAACAAGGTTAAATAATATGAGACCCTTGAAAAATAGCTGGATAAAGATGTACAACTGTAAGTTTCAGTGAGGCAAAGATTTTAGTGAGGCAATTGCCTCGCCTGCTTCATAGCCGGCGAGGCCCATATGCTTTTATGCTTACCTCTGGTCAACGTGAACTCTCTCTCCTCCATGTATAAGTCTGAAGGGTCGTTCATCGAATAACAGGTAGCATCCGCAGACATAGCCAGCTTGACATTACTAGACCCCATCTGCTTATTGTATCTCTGTAAAACAGACAGCGATAGTTTTATATGCATGCGTATAATTTTGAAACATGTGACTGACTCTTTTCAATTTTTCTAGATGGATTTTTGCTGGATATGAAATTAGGTGTTCGTGCTTATATGAGAATTATGACTTATTTCCACACACATTGAGAATGTAAAGGTTTACACTGTAACATTAACACTTCTTAAATTTATCCACCAAATCATTTACGTTTTGTTTCCAAGCTTCACGTTTTTTCTCAGGCTTTTTCCTGAATGTTCTTAAGTCCCCAAAACGCATATAGTACATAGAACATACACTTAACAAAAAATACATTCAAATATAATCATTTGTAGCATATACTATCTAGTACATAGTACATATGTGTAACTTTCAAATTATTCTCTATGTACACTGACCATAACTCCCAATATGTTTATAATCTTTATACTCGAATAGACATGCTCTACAACATTCTATCACTAAGCCAGCTATATGTTCTAGATGCTGCACATCATTGTGATGCTTTACACAGTTGTGATGCTGCACATTTTTGTGATTCTGCACACAGTTGTGATGTTGCACACCATTGTGATGCTGCAGACTATTGCACAAGATTTCATAATTTACTTCTCGGTCGCCACGATTCTTCATAGAAGCACATGCATCAATGGTCCTGCCCTAATACATCGGCGTTAGCAATGTTTCCCATCCAATGCACTACAAACTCATATTCTTTGTGTATGTACTACCTACTGCGTGTCATTTCAAGTTTTTTTTATAGTATATGTTTGAGTAAACAAAATATATCTACATAAGAAGAACTTGTGAAATACCATATTTATTATTAAAACTGGTCATGTAGAGTTTGCAGTTATTCGGTTCCAAGTTAAGATTCACAAATATTACAGATATTATACTTTGAAAACAGATTAACAGAGGAAACAGTTCATTGTTGTTTTAGTTTTCAGTTACTTAAGATTCACAAATAGAGATGTAATATTTGATATACAGCTACATTTAAAATGAGGATAGTTTGAAGCAAAAACAATGAAAGCGATAGTCAAATGGGGTCGATAGGAGGATAAAATAGGGATTCCAAAAGGCCTTACACAGTAGAGAAAAGAATTTCATATTCAAAACAGAAATTGTATTAAAGCATGATTATACAGTTCACGTTATTAGAAGAAATCCTGGGTGTTTTCTACAACTGAAAACTCATTTTTAAATATATATAAAAATTATAGTACATGTCTTCTATTAACGTGAGAGTTGTAATCAAACTATGAGCATTCACGTACCCAAGATAACCTGTGTATAGAGACAGATAAATTAGCATGGTGTGACTGTAAGCATTATATATACAGGTACATACACTCTACTCCATAAGTATGTACCATTTGTAAGAAAACCCCAAAATGGTGAATACTTTTTGGCAGTAGTGTAGTGTAGAGATTGCATTCCCTGACTTACCGGGTCCTCTCGTGTTATGTACTTCTATAAGGAAGCGAAGTAGTTTGCACATTAAAATATATCAATTTTATTTTCCACGTACCATTTCGATAATTGTAAAAAAATAAAGATGGATATTCTAAATATTTCAAATAAATAAAGATAAATTAGTACATGATAGAACTAAATAATGGAATAATGGCATAATATTAAATATAAAACTAAGCACTCTACTAACAATGAACTAAATTCAGTACTGCCTACGCTGACTAGGAAAGCTAATATTGCATATACAGTAAAAGGGAAATATAAATTGGAGTATAATATACAGATAATGATCACTTACGAAACATCTGTGCTGTAAGTTAGGGTCTGTGAATCCGTCCCCTACAATCTTTGCGTACATGTAATCATCGCCATCTTTCCACGTTGCCAAACAATGCAGATGTGTCTCTGAAAAAAGTTGAAATTATGTTGTTGTTGTTGTTGTTTTTTTGTTTTTTTTAATAAGAAGAGTCGGTGCGCAGAGACCAAATATTGGATCAGCTTCAAAAACGTTTTAAGGAGTTAAGTTACTTTAGTATTATCCTCGATTTTGCATTCATGTGCTTTATTGAATTATTATTAAATATCCATGATATATTATAGAAATAAAAGTAAATAAATGTTAAAATACAGTACCTCTTTCGTATGAATCTGGGATTCCATTGCACCTTTTGAAGTTCATTTCAAACATAGATGTCTTCGCACATGCCGTCATAGAAGACATTGGATCGCCACATTCCCCGGAAAGGTTCATGTAGCTAAACTTGAAAGCACCATGGAATGGACACGGAACTGTTTCACCGTTTTCTAATAAAGAAAAATAAAGAGCACATATCAAATTTAATCACACAGTATATATACTTGATACATCCTGATCTATAAGACCCTCACTTTTTTATTAGCTTTATAGAGAGAAAGTAGGAATGACACGACATACCTGGTACATATGGAGTGTAACATTTTTGGCAAAAAGGTTATATATCGCATGTGTCTTCATATTGTTACTATTCGTCCCCTCCCCAATGTATATGGAAAAGTACGTTATATTAAGGAAATAGTGTCCCATGTCTGTATTAGTGAGTCTAAATCACCATACCTTTACTACTTAGTGTAGCCTCTGCTAATTTAAATAGCTGTAGTCGAACAGTGACAGTAGAGACTAAGCTTGCATTCGCAAATGACTGACGGCTACTGGATTAACCTACTATAATACGAGTAACTCATTTAAATATAAATAGTACCTGCCATTATGCCATTCATATCTAAATGAATTGGTCATATATAAAATAGTAGGTTAATCCGGTAGCCGATAGGCGTTAGTTGCATTCGCGAATACAAGGTAAGACACCCTGCATATATCGTAAACACATTTATTAGGGTCGAAGCGATCTGCAAAATACCAAAACCGTATAGAAAACGAAGACTTACCTCTAACCATTGTCGTTAGAACACTATACGTGTCGACCTTTTGATAGCATAAGTGGTTGAAGGTACTAGGGTTTGGTTCACAAAAACCTGAAATTGTTAAGTACAAAAAATGAAGTCTAAATTAAAGTCAAACCACAGACGGTGATTTAAATAGCTAAACGACGACGTCTATGTTACTATATGATGAGTATAAATCTCCTATTAAGGCTATTAGCCAATAGATACACAAGGCAGACTCAAACACAAAAAGACATAACAGGAAAATAAATAAATTTATCCAGTTCCAAAAAATCAGTTATCTTATAACACAACGGCTCTAATTTAACACGTCTTTAATCTTGATGTCGAGGTATTCAACGCAATATTAAAAACATATAAATATTGAAATGAAGCATCAGTACGAACATGCACGTATTCTCATATAATTATGCTAAAGTGTCATAATTTATTTATTTGTACTCACTAGCTTTATACTGCAAAATGTTGGTATGTCTGGGTGTTATGTGAAGGCATTTCCAGCAAGGTGGCGTTCCTCTGAAATCAGAAAGATGAGTTTAAATTTAGATTTTTCATAAACATACAGTATACATTATACGTACAGTATGTAAGTGGACTTTCATGGTAACATTGTATCTTGTGATACAAATAAAAATAAACTCAATAAAATATATAAGATACAGGTGCGACTGTTCAGGTATATCACGGTATATTACGTCAAATTGAGAGTGCATATAGATGTAGGATGTAAAAACTTATAATGGAATCGTGTATGTTGTCTGAAAATGAACAATGAACTTCCTGATTAAGGTCTATGGACAGGTATATCCTCTACTATCTATTCTCTATAATCTATTTAATGATGTAACATTATATTTCCTATATATTTGATGCAAAAATTATAACTGACATTGATATTTTAGAGATGTAAAGTTTTATAAATATGTTTCAATAGATAACTTTGAAAACAAGACGCCTTGCTTGGTCAAATTCTATGAAATGACAAAGTCGATTTAATTCGTAGAACAAAGAAACAATAATCCGTTTCTCCTCATAAACCGTCGTAAATGCCCATATTGACCAGCGCCCTATCAACAACTTAGGTTATAAAGTTAATCAAAAAGTGACATAGCTTTACAGACCCTTTATTAGGATTCCCACATGATTCTCGTAAAGAAGAATTAGAGTTCTTCTTTATTGGAAAACACTCGCCTCTGCACAAATAAATATGATTTTGTTTCCTCCAATATTTTACCCCGTTAATTTGCTCACAGAGAGTTGTAAATAATCTAAAAGAGGCTGTAATTACCATGCTAGGCTATCTACGTGGACTGTTATATTAACATATGGAAGATTTTCTATTGTGTAGGTTCCACATACACCGCTGCTCATATATCTGGAATACTCCAGGCAATTGACAAAAATCATCACACTTTCTTTATTATGGCGAATAAAAAAGTTTTAAAGCTAAAATTCCAAATCAAGAATGTTATTCCAAGAATTTCCATTAAAGATTAAGCTCTTTTAATGGAATATATTCAAGGATTTCAGTGGATACTGACAAATTCATTCCTCGGAGATGAAAAATGTTCTTAAAGGTGTACGTTTGGTTTATTTTTTTCTGAGTATTGCAATACAAGCTTGCCTGACCTCAAAAACCATTATTATCTAATAACGTGATAAATAATACTATTTAGTGTTCACATGATATGTGTGGTCTTACAACCTGTGTGTGCATGTAGCATTTAAATAGTAATGGGCTGAGTCGCAACTCGCAATCCATACTTAAATAACTATCCAAAATAAATGTCCTATTCTTTTTCGAGATTGTAAATGTTGCCCTTTGGTCTGTCACCTCTTCAAAGTATACGAGAACTTTTTTCTTTTTATTTTCTTCATAAAATGAACCGTTATTTTACATGAAAGGATATGTTTGATATTATGAGTTCCCACAGATGCTATCTGATAGTCCTCAACATATAACCCAAGCTACTCACGAACCAGTAACAAAACAAGAAGCTCTTATCAGATACAATTAAAGGCAGTGATCTAATATTGCAATTATTGTACCATTGTACCATCGTAAAAGCTCCTCGTTCCCTAATTGATGCTTGATGTACCATTCTTTATCAATTTCTGTGTCTGTCAGTTAACGTATCTAGAAGATACAGGCGATCTAGTGAGGTCGTTTATCGATCATGCGGCGATCGCCATGCTGCGAGCATGGCGATGGTCCCGGACGGTGCATGTACATGTAGTTATTAGTTACACGGCCAGGTGGCGACATCGACTGAGATTTGAAAATGTGAATATAAATAAAGGTTGATTGCCCTTTTAAACAAGTAAGAGCGAAAAATCAGACTGTTCGTTATTGATGTGCATCGAAACTTTACAACAAATGTTTTCACTCAGTAAATATGTTTTTATAATCACGATTCTGATAGACAATGATGATGAATCCGGATAGGTAATTACACGCCGCAATATTAATCAACATCGGGAAACAATAAATCATATTTAAAAGTATTTAACCTGAATGATGTAATTGATTCTCCTACAAAAGCCTTTCATATTTATATACAAGTACCATAATTTAAGGAATTATCTTGGCTTTGACATACCAATGTATTCCTAGGGGTTAAAATGTGGCATATGACTAAGAACTAAATGAATGAGATAATTAACATTTTTACACTTTTCGTTTTCTCATATAGAGTGTGTTAGTTTATAAAGAGTGAGACATAAATCGACAATATGATTTTCCATTAGGTATATGGGCTTTTAGACATGCCTTAAACCCTTTGATATTAATAAAGATACTAAATAAAATCCATTATGAATCATTCATTTCAGCCTAATCACCGTAATTGTCTACATTTTTTCTTAATAGAATACGATGTCAACTTGCTTTTTCCAAAATTCATATTTTCTCGTGTCATGAAACCATGGAAGCGACAAACTAATTTAATAATTTTCTTTTAAAATTTTACGCTTTACGATTCATACCAGCTTGCAACCGCACAATATCAACGTAAGACATTGCAAATTAGAGTTGGCCGTTGTGCCCAATTTTCAGATGAAGTAATGTTTCTATGCAAAAGTGAAATCAATATAAATTCTGAAACGAGCAAGAGATAATCCCGGAACCAATTAACAATTTACGATTCAATTTTCTGCTTGTTTTCGCACACGTCTGCACACGTCGTCGCCATTGTTCATATCCATCTACAGGTTGTGACGTCCATCCTCCGAGCACAACAGATTGTACGAAATGTATTATAATGTGCTTTCTCAGCAAGTCATGACATGCGGAAAACGATGAAAAAATAATCCGTTAATTGTATCTCTGATGATATCTGCATGAAATTGACGGTCTGGAAAAGTATAATACATTTTGTCTTAAACCTGATATACGAAAATAAGACGGAAATTAATTGTTGCTATGCAATAGGTGTTGCCTAGTAACGTAAATGGACGTCTCCCATTATTCTGTATGATTCTTAACATACGGTAATGGAATATCTCTAATTTGATTATAAATATCTTTGCTGATACAGAGATGAGTTATTGTTAATGGATGTATGACCTTCAACGGGGTGGTCAGTATCTTCGTATCCAAGGGTAACCATGGCAACGGTACAGTACCGCCGGAGTAGAGCATATGTGAGGGTTGGTTTGTAGGTTTATACAGAGAATTCCCAGTCCATATGCGCACATTAAGCTGTCATATATTTTTATTTTATGCTTTTCTGCTTTTAAATTAATTGTTCCAGTCCATATATTTCTTCAAGAATATGAAATTGTTCAATTCTCAATATATGAACACTGTTGTTAAGTATAGACGATGACTGAAATTTGTATTAATAATGCAAACGATATCCATAAAATCATAACCTTCTGGCATCTAATACGTATGATTGTTTTGCAAAGATAATGAAGTCGCAACTAGGAGTTACATTTCAAGAAAATGTTTCCATTATCTGACGCATCTGCTCCAATGCCAGCTAATCTTCGTGTTTTCCATTACGGTAAGGTTAGCTCAAAGATTGCGTTACACCAAAGGAAAATTACAGGTAAAATACACACCTGTCTTAATTACTACCTGGGAAGCATAGGTGAAAAATGATGCATCAAAGAGGAGAATTTGTATTTTCAGAATATAATTAATTAGCGTTCCTTAGTGTTCCTTAACATCTCCGTATGATGCCGCCTCCGGGCCGTCTACACTCACAAAACAATATTCACCAAAGCTAATTAATAAGTATGACTGTAGTTGCAACATCAATGATCATTGTATGACGGGTTAAAAAAACATTTAAAATATAGGATGGGCGTCAGAAGGAAATAATTCACGTATTCTCTTGTTTTGTTCTGAACCAAAGACATTAGTGAGTGATTTCTAGAAGTCATATTCGCCAAAATATGAAATATAAGGAAAAACAGAAATTCAACAATGACACAGTCAGGAAGTCTCACAGAGTAGCTACTAGAGTCTACCCAATTAATAAAATGTTATAGTCATGTAAAGAATGTTGTTCATTGCCAAAAAGCATCTTTTGTTTTGAATGTTTTGCAAGATAATTATGTTTTTATTTTATTCAAATAAACAGTTTACTCGTTATTTGGAATGTGTGTCTCCTTAGTTCATTTTGCGTTTGTGTTTTGTTGTCCTTTCACCGAACGAATTAATATATGTATAACCTCATCATGATATGACACCGGGATGGCATTTTATTTTATTGCCTATGTTATTACCCATTATGAAGGAAAAATAACGGTTATATCCATGGCTTCCAATTAGACTCGAGTGAATGTGTTGTTTCGAGAGTTACTAGAGGATGACACCATAACAACAGTGTTTGTGATCGAAGCATACCGCGTGGAAAAACAGACAAATGTCACTCATTGTTTTTCAAAACAAAAAGCATGTGTTCGGTATTTAGCTGTAGCATTTTAAAATGTCCCGTTGGAAAGCAAATAGTTTACGCCATCGAATGCCAAGACAACGGTTATCGAGAAAGATGACAAGCGTTTTTTAACACTTATTTAACAACATTTAAGAAACATACCAATTCACACCCTCTATAAATCATATGAACGCGTTAAACCAATACGGAACGTCAAAAACAAACAAACGTTATCCTAATAATCTTCTCGATGTGTTATCATACAAGGAGGAAATATACTCCATATTTGTAAACATCGAACCAAATTGCTCACATATGTTGTCCGTATCTGATGGAGTAATAGAATATTTTCAAATGTGATATACCTGATACTGCTCAATCTGTGGCAATGTTTTTGTATACAGTTTTATTAATGTACATACTAAGTAATTTCACATAAGTGAACAAAGTATTTCCTCGGAGATTTTCCAACCTTTCAGAATAAACTAAGAAACCATTATTCTTCTCTTTAGGATGGCTTAATGCAAAATATGGTTAATTGTTGCTTAGGGCTAATCCTGTCTGATATTTCGCAGACTGCTGGATAATATACAGATATTAGATCGAAAATAATTATGGAAGAAAAAAAGC